CCCACAGAGGACCTTAAGGTCCATAAATAGCAACACTCTAGAGGTCCTGGGCGTTTAGGAAGTCAGATTAGCCTCAACCAGGGCCAAGGCCTTCTCAGTGGTGGCTCCGGCCTGGTGGAATGCTCTGTCTCATGAGACCAGGCCGGCTGTGGGATCTGATTTCTTTCCGCAGGGCCTGTAAGACAGAGTTGTTCCGCCTGGCCTTTGGCTTAGAATCAACTTGATCCCCTCCCCCTCTTTCCTTTTTCCTTTCTCCTTCTGTGATGGAACTCCTATTTGGGGACTTCCCTGGCTTTTTTCTGGCCCACGTAGGACCAGTCTGGATAGTTAGCCTTGGTGAAGATTTGACATTTTCATCCCCAAAAAGTTTTTGATTTGAGTTCCTACTGAAATGAGGCTGCATTTTAATGTTGTACTAAATCTTGTTTTAAAGTTGTATTTTAATCAATTGTTTTTACCTGGTGTTAGCCGCCCTGAGCCTGGTCTTGGTGGGGGAGGGCGGGGTATAAATAAAATTTGTTGTTGTTGTTGTTGTTGTTGTTGTTGTTGTTGTTCAATGGCTTTGAAGCTGGTTAAAGTGGGTTCTGGACTGCCATCACATCAAAGCTCAATCAATTGTCTGCCAGTCAACTAATTCATCAATTCATTAATCTGTTGAATTTAAAGTCTGGGTTTTGGGAAACCAGGCATTATTAATCATATTTTATTCTGCATTTCCTCCAGGGGCGGTGTACATAGCCAAGGGCCAGGAAAGTAGGCCTGCCATTAGCGATTGCAGAAATCTCAATTACCTGCCTTTGCAGAAAGGCGATGAGGGAAGCTTTCCTGGCCAAACTTTGGTGTTGCAAGAAACTGCGGCAGTGGGACCTTGCTTGTCGATTGTAATCCGTTCCGGAAGACAACCAAGGCGCAATGGGTGTTCGGCAATTAAATGGAGAAAATAGAGAAACGCGCCTTGGAAGCCGTTTGTCTTCCGAGGCGTGTTCAAAAACAGAAGCATTTAGTTCCAGGTTTCTAAATATATATATATATATATATATATATATATATATATATATATTATTCCCCGCCCTTCCCGGTTCAGAAAACCGAGCTCAGGGCGGCTAACAACAAATTTAAAACACTTAATTGATGCAACAACAAAAAACAGCATAAAATACAGTATAAAACGTGAATAACGATAAATTCAGAATTCAAAAATCAATTTAGGGGGGAAATCCATCCAATAAACATTAGGTGATCCCCAGGACTAGCTGGCTAAATTAGTCCTATTTGGGCCAGCGAGGAGACCAGGGGAGAATGAGCTGTGGGTTTTGGGTTCTGAATCGTTTGGCTTCTGAGATGCCCTATCAGAAAAAGGTGGCAACTTCTTGCCTTGCAGGGGGTTGGACTAAATGATCCTTGGGTTCCCTTCCAACTCTGCTGTTCTACGATTCTATGATCTGTAGGCAGAGAGGATTTATACAGAACGTCAAGGAAGGCATTGGAGCAGGTAGGTATGAGACAAGACTGCCGCTTCAGTTTTATTATTATTATTTAACCGTATTTTTCGCTCTATAGGACACACTTTCCCCCCTCCAAAAATGAAGGGGAAATGTGTGTGCGTCCTATGGGGTGAATGCAGGCTCCTTGGCTTCAGCGATAGCAACGCATTGCTTTCGCTGAAGCCTGGAGAGTCTGGTCTTTGTTTTTTTTTTTTAAAGAATATTTATTCCAATTTTAAAGTTACCAAAAAAAAAGTATAGAAAAGGAAAAACACAAACCACATACATCTTATAAAAAACAGACAATAAAAAAAGAATGAAAAAGACAAAAAATCACAGTAGAAAATAACAAAAAACAAATTAGATCATTACAGCCATTTTCCCATTTACTTATTTCCATGACTTCCTCTCACCTCCCTGCTTTGTATTCTAGTTTGAATCGTATCTCCAGCAAATCCTTCTAACCTTCTTTTCTTTTACTTATTTTAACATTCGAAAGTATTTAATTCTCCTCTATCCTCATTTTACACTTCATATTTACTTATTCCATTATACCCTGTCTGCCAATACGGTCTAATATTCTTCTCCAACCTTTTTCTAACATTCTTTTATATTGCAATGTTTCTGAAGATATATTTTAAATTTTTTCCAGTCTTCTTCCATCAACCCTTCTTCCTGATCTCGAATTCTGCCGGTCATCTCAGCCAGTTCGGAGAGTCTGGTCTTTGAGGCTGGCGGAGGGGGAAAGCAGCGCTTCCCCCCACCGCCAACCCCACAAGCTCGGTCGAAAAGCCCGCAGGAGCTGCACGCTCTTTAAAGGATGCGCGGCTCCTGTGGGCTTTTGCGGGAGATGGGGGAATTCCCCCACCTCCCATAATAGCAGGGAGAAGGTCTGGGAGAAGCGCACAGGCTGCGTGCAGCCTGCCCGCTGCTCCCAGAGCTGGGGGGGGAATCATATTTCCCCCCTTGATTTCCCCCTCTGAAAACTAGGTGCGCCCTATGGTCAGGTGCGCCCTATAGAGCGAAAAATACGGTACTGACCCTGCTCCTAGCAGAAGGCCTGTCACTCACTGCATCTCTTGCAAGAGGCAAATACTGGCCTCACCTCACGGCAGAACACCTGCAGCTGCTTGAAGAAAACGCACTTTTTGCACACAAATTCCTCTGGAAGGTGAATGCATTTAAATTTGCTTCCACAAAGCTTATTGAATTTTATTATTACGGTCACAGACCAGTTCTGGCTCACTTACAATATCAGAAAAATCATAAAACACAACAGGAATACATTGAGTTGCAATTGGGTTTAACAGAGACAATTCAGATTTAACGGCAGTTAAAAATATACATTAAATCTTGATCACTAAAGTAAAACCTAAAGTTTAAAACCTTTATCATTTTGGTAGTACAGCATGTTCCCTAAGTTTTATGGCAGTCGCACAGAATTTGGCCACCCTTAGCGTGATCTCTAGATCCTTGTCCTCTACCAGGAGTTTTAGACATTGGAGTTTGGACCCATTTACCTGGAGGTAAGACAATGTCCAATCATTAGAATCATAGAATAGAATCATAGAGTTGGAATAGACCACAAGGGCCATCGAGTCAGACCCCCTGCCAAGCAGGAAACACCATCAGAGCACTCCTGACATATGGTTGTCAAGCCTCTGCTTAAAGACCTCCAAAGAAGGAGACTCCACCACACTCCTTGGCAGCAAATTCCACTGTCAAACAGCTCTTACTGTCAGGAAGTTCTTCCTAATGTTTAGGTGGAATCTTCTTTCTTGTAGTTTGGATCCATTGCTCCCTGTCCACTTAGTGAGCATTCTTCCTGATTTATCTGAGGGGAGGTTGCATACTGACGGACATTCATCCTGAGTCGCTTGTAGAATGGTTATGTGTTTCCCTGCTAATAATTTGTTCATTCCAGACCTTTCAGAGCATCTACCTGTCGTTTTCGTAGCTGCAGAAAGCCCATTTTTTAAAAAAGAAGAAGAAGTGGATTTCTTGCCCCAGGGTGACAGAGTGTTGGGCTTTAATCATGCAAACCTAAATTTCCAGTGTTCAATTATTATTATTTATTGCATTTCCTTTCCAAGGAGCTCAAGGCTGCCTGCACACTTCTCCCTCTCCTCCATTTAATTCTCACAACAAGCCTGTGAGGCAGGTCAGGCCGACAAGCAGTAATTGGCCATGGGACACCCAGGGAGTTTCGCAGCCGAGTGGAGATTCGAACCCTGATCTCCCAGGTCCTAGTCTGACACTCCAACCACTACGCAACACCATCTCTCTTGTGTCCCATTTGAGTTGCACCTGCAATATGCTGGCCGTCTGCTGGTGACCTTCAGAATCATAAATGGGAAACTGAAGTAAGCCGCAACCCTGAGCGTTCTTAAAAGTTTATTTCGGCAAAATCAAAGACGTCCAATGCAAGGGACAAAGTTTCCCCTCTTCCAAAGTGAGCTTTGTCCCTTCCATGTCTGCCTGTGGTCAGCTGCTAAAGGCCTGTAAAACAGGCAAAACCCCAAGAGGGCCTGGGGACATCCAAGGCGCAATAAATAGTAGAGTAAATAAACACGGCGCATTTTCATAACGGAGCTGGTGTTTACTGGGAAACTGCCTTGATTCCAGTTAGGGATGATCCTGAGATTCAGTTGGTGTTTTAAGGGTGACCCTACCCGAATCTGCACTTTCTGAAACTTTGCAAATCTAGGCACAGCCACCCATCAAAATTCACACATCTCTGAATTTTGCAATGCAGAACAACAAGAGCAGAAGGAATAAATGCATCAAAAAGTTGGGGAAAGTCCTTGGGGTGGGGGGAGAGAGAAGGGATAGGGGGGTGATTTGGGTTTTTGTTTCGTTTTTTGCTTTTTCCCATTATGTGATGTCATTATGTTGACTGAATATAAAATTATAAAATCTAATACAAATTATTGTTTTAAAAAATGAATTTTGCAGTGCAGCTCTCCTGCCGAGTAACATGGAACGTTTTCAAAAGGGCACTTGCTGGAGCAAAGTGTGCATAAAAACGCATATGTTATGTTAGTGAAACTAGCATGCACTGTATTATATATTTTTATCTACTTCGTATTATTTATATGCCTTTTGATTGCAAAAAAGCCCCCCCCCAAAAAAACACTCAAAGCAGTTTATGAAAGAGATAAAACGATCAGGAAAAATAACAGCAATAATTTAAAACTTTCCAAAACAACAGCCGACTAAAAGCAGATCAAAATTCGCACCAGCTTTCTAAACATCCCAGCAGGCTTGTCGAAACACAAATGCTTTGAGGCAAAATTGCTTTGCGAAATGTGTGCAGCTGGAGAAATTTGCACTAGAAGGCTGACAAAGTTTCACGAGGAAGTTAGAAATAAATAAAGCATGAACTGGTGTGAAAAATGAACTCAGGAAATGGAAAACAACAAATGGAGAGAGGCTGAAATTTGTCAGATCTGCCCATCCACCTTCAGTCCCGGGAGAGGGATTCCCTGCAGCAACTCTTAGTCCTTTCTGACTTTCACTGGTTCCCTTTTGCAGAAGGTGATTTTCATTTCCTGGTAAGGCAGAACAAATTCCACCTGTGGCTCTTTTCACCTTTCTGCAGACAAGGCAGGTGGATCTTGGAGCGGCTCTGGGTAGATGCAACCAGGAAGTCGCAGCCGCCTTGCCTGGACAAGCAGCCAGCCAGCCGCCCACACTCCTGCTCAGAGTTTGCGCCAAGGAGCTCCGGATACCTTCCTTGCCCTGCCGAGAACGGGCCCTTTCCTGCGCTAGGGGGGCGAGCAAAACACGTTAGCCTGGAGGACTCGGCTGCTTTCTCAAGGTGAGTGTTGCTGGCTGTCGTTTTCCGCCTGCACGGAGGGAACAGAAAATTGGTTTTGGCTGGAATGAATGAGACAGAGCTGGCAAGCCCAGAGATTTGGCCTCTCCCTACAGATCTGGCTGGGTGGCGATGAAGAGACACTCTGTGCATGCCCAGGGCTGGTTTGTTTTCTTCATCTCCTCCTCCTCCTCCTCCTCAGGGTGCTCTTTCCTGTCCTGTTTTTACCTGGCGTGTTGTTCTGATAAGACAGGAACATCCCTGCTCTTCCTCCTCAGCTGATAAAATCATGGCTGTGTCTTCTGGCACATTCTCAATATTGTCGCTGCCTTGAACTGAGTCAGAGCGCTGCTCCATTGAGCTCAGTATTCTGAGACTGGCAACAGCGGCTCTCCAGGGTTTCAGGGTCACTGCCAGCCTTACCTGGACTACCCAGGGATCAGACAGGGACGTTCTCCATGCAAGGATGCTCTTTGTTGTTTAGTCGTGTCCGACTCTTCGTGGCACCATGGACCAGAGCATGCCAGGCACTCCTGTCTTCCACTGCCTCCCGCAGTTTGGTCAAACTCATGCTGGTAGCTTCGAGAACACTGTCCCACCATCTCGTCCTCTGTCGTCCCCTTCTCCTGGTGCCCTCCATCTTTCCCAACATCAGGGTCTTTCCCAGGGAGTCTTCTCTTCTCATGAGGTGGCCAAAGTCTTGGAGCCTCGGGTTCAGGATCTGTCCTTCCAGTGAGCACTCAGGGCTGATTTCCTTCAGAATGGATTGGTTTGATCTTCTTGCAGTCCATGAGACTCTCAAGAGTCTCCTCCAGCACCAGAATTCAAAAGCATCCATTCTTCGGCGATCAGCCTTCTTTATGGTCCACCCCTCACAAAAATGCCAGGGCTACTCTTGCAATAAGAACTCTCCCGTGGGAACAGATCAAAAGCCCATTGAGTCCGGCATCCTCTTTCCTACATCAGCCAACGAGATGCCTCCACAATCTTGAGGTGCGGCTGTGAATTCGAAAGTTTCGCTTTTGCTTCTGATTCACCCAGGACCCAGCCTTTGACAAACATGGTGTTTCAGACAGCAGTGCCCATCAACCCCAGGCAGCAGAAGGGTCTAAGCTCGTAGCCAGTGGCTCATCTTGTGGCAGGCAGTTCCACATGGTGTCCCCCCCCTGCCAATTTTTAAAATTGATTTTACAAATTACAACCAAATTATTGCCAAATTAATGTAGTTTTATTTAAGTGGCTTCCCACTCGCCGTTGTCGATGTGTCCTTCGCTTTCGATGTTACCGCGCCGAATATTTTAAATTACCTCCAATTCCACATGTTGCCCACGTGTGACGTTTCTCACACTTAAATAGCGTTCTGTCTTAGAAAGTGTCCAGTCATCCCACTCCGACAGGTTGTCACTTTGCCATCTCAACCAGGGACATACGCCACATATATGAATCTCAAGTACCACTTGCGGCTAGCACCCTCGTCGTATTGTTTTACATCATAGATAGCAACTGGGACAGAACTGCTTGGTGCAACATTAAGGTAGATCTGGTTCAGATTTGGTGCTCACCTGGAGCAGAGACACAGGTGGATAACATAGGGAGATGGAAGCGAGGCAGTCCTTGCTGGCTACATAGCAATTTCTCTCCTGGCGCTGCGATTAGAGAAGCAAATTGCGCCTCGTCTAATTCCCATCTCTCTTTATTAATCCCTCTGAACCTGGTGGGCTGTGGGGGGAAAGGAGCACACTGAGAGCATCCAATAACACGTTAGTGAGATAATTTAATGTAATTTCCTGCCTCTCAGGCAAGGCTTGGCATTCCAACTGAGGCCTTGGAGCTGGGAAGAAGTCTTCGCCCTCAATCGTCCCCAAATAAGAGGGGCAAAAGACACAGGTGGGCCCAGGGCTGTCTTAAGCATGTGCGGCGCAGGGGTGCAAAGATCTGCCTGGCTCCCCTGGACTCAACTCTTGGGCCCTGGACCCTCAGCCTGGCGCCCCTGAGAGCCCAGCGCCCATGTGCCCCACACCCCTAGTGCCTATGGATAAGACGGCCCTCTTTTCGGCTAGTAATCCCTAAGGCCACCTCATTCTTTGATCTGCCCCATGCGTTCTGTCCACACATGAGCCAGTGTGGCCTAGTGGTTAGAGTGTTGAACAAGGACCTGGGAGATCAGGGTTCGAATCCTCTCTCAGCCATGAAGCTAACTGGGTGACCTTGACCCAGTCACTCACTCTCAGCCTAACCTATCTCACAGAGCTGTTGTGAAAGGTGAGGTATAAATTCAATAAACAAGTAAATAGAAAGGAAAATATCATAATGTTGTTGTCCAGTCCATGGCACAACTGCACTTGGAATACTGTGTACAGTTGTGGTTGCTGCACCTGAAATAATAATAATAATAATAATAATAATAATAATAATATTGTAGAGCAGGGAAAGGTTCAGGAGAGGGCAACTGAAATGGCCAAAGGGATGGAGCAAGTCCTCTAGTGGGAAAGGCGGCAGCATTTGGGGGGCTTTTTATTTCAGAAAAAAATGGTACATAAAAGGAGGGACGAGATTAGTTCATAAAATTATGCACGGCCCAGAGAATGTGCATAGAAAAGCTTTCCTCCTCTCCGTCATAAAGCTGGAATGTTGGAAGGTACAAGACAAAATAAAGGACTTCTTCATGGAGTGCAGAGTTAAACTGTGGAACTCCCTGCCACAGTGATGCCCACCAACCTAGATAGCTTTAGAGGAGGATTAGACAAATTCATGGAGGAGGGGAGGGCTCTCTGTGGTTACTGGTCACAACGGCTATTTTCTCCCTCGACTCTTGGAAGCCGAAACGTGCTTGCTAGCAATTAGAGGTGAGGAGAGCTCTGCTGTTGCACCCAAGTCTTGCCTGTGGACTTCCCATGGACACCTGGCTAGCTGCCGTGAGAATAGGATGCTGGACTAGAGAATCGGTCTCTTGTTATAATAATATAATAATTTATTATTTATACCCCACCCATCTGGCTAGGTTCCCCCCAGCCACTCTGGGCGGCTTCCAACAGAACACTAAAATACAATAACCTATTAAACATTAAAAGCTTCCCTAAACAGGGCTGCCTTCAGATGTCTTTTAAAAGTCTGGTAGTTGTTCTTCTCTTTGACATCTGGTGGGAGGGCGTTCCACAGGGCGGGCGTCACCACCGAGAAGGCCCTGCACCTGGATCCGTGTAACTTGGCTTCTCGCAGCGAGGGAACCGCCAGAAGGCCCTCGGAGCTGGACCTCAGTGTCCGGGCAGAACGATGGGGGTGGACCGAGGCCGTTTAGGGCTTTGAAGGTCAGCACCAACACTTTGAATTGTGCTCGGAAACATACTGGGAGCCAGTGTAGGTCTTTCAAGACCGGGGTTATGTGGTCTCGGCGGCCGCTCCCAGTCACCAGTCTAGCTGCCACATTCTGGATTGTTATGTCTTTATAGGGTGAAGCACAGATAGGAGGGATTAAACAAGAGTTGGAAGGGATTCTGAGAGACATCCAGTTGATCTAGTAGGAGATGTTTCTCCTTGCAGGGTGAAGTTTGACATTCTGTAGGGAAGTACAGGGCAGCTTAATTTGTGATCCTTTGACTAATGGGCTTTTCCAACTCCTGGCAGCAGGGAGCTGCGGCCAATCCCAGACAATGTCCCTGTGTGAGATGCGCAGCCATAATGCATTGACTGTGTGCACACATAGAGCCTTTTGCACCACTAAAAACACATAAAGTGTGACGTGGACCCGGGGAACAGAGCAAATTGCAGGGCAATCCTATTTATCGTATGTGAATCCCGCTGAATTCTTTGCAGCTTACTCACAAGGTGGCAGGTGCAGGAGGGCAGCCTGAGACAGCTTAGGAAACACTAAATATAATAGTAGTAGTAGTAACAACAACAACAACAACAACAACAACTTATTATTTATACCCAGCCCATTTGGCTGGGTTTCCCCAGCCACTCCGGGCAGCTTCCAACAAAGTATTAAAATCTTCCCTAAACAGGGCTGCCTTCAGATGTCTTCTAAAAGTCTGGTAGTTGTTCTTCTCTTTGACATCTGGTGGGAGGGCGTTCCACAGGGCGGGTGCCACCACCGAAAAGGCCCCTGCCTAGTTCCCTGTAACTTGGCTTCTCGCAGCGAGGAAACCGCCAGAAGGCCCTCAGAGCTGGACCTCAGTAGAATGGTGGGTTCTTTTTGATGTAGGCAGTGGCATGAAATACTTGCTAACTGAGAATCCCTGAGGTCAGTGTTCGGGAACAGCACTGGAGGTAAAAGCAGAAGGCAGCGTAAGGATCCACCCCGATGCTATTCCTTTCCCCATTTTGCTTTGGGTATAAATCCATTAATCTGCTGGCAGGCTGCCGTGTGGTCATTCTGCACTTGGTTGCCTGGGCTGAATTTTCTTGCACTGTCTCGGGCTCTTGGTTCATCTAGCACTGTTGCCTACACTGGCTGACAGAATCACAGAACTATAGAGTTGCGAGGGACCCTCAAGGGGCATCTAGTCCAACCCCCTGCGATGCAGGGATGACAGCCAAAGGATTCCTGACAGCCAGAAGATACTGTATGTTCAGAAATACAATAATAGTTTTGACTGTGCTAGCATTCGAGTGATAAAGGAAGTAAAAGGAGGTGGATAACAATTAAGGATTTATTATGTTTTTCAGAATGCATTGGAAAATTTATATAGAAAGGTTTATTGTTTTGTGTACATTTGATTGTAAGATAAAACATATGTGAAGGGACTTGACAGGAAGTCAAAATTGATGAAAAGATTTTGTAACATAAAAGGGGAAAAATATTTACTTTCATTATTATCAATTTTTGTGTGTGTGTCTGTACATATGTGTGTTTTTGTATGGAATGTTTGGGAGGAAATAAGACGGTAAATAACAAATAATCTAAATATTGATGTATGTAATTTTTATTTCTCGATTGAGTTTGGTGCTAGTGTGGTTGTGGTGTTTTTTGTAACATGGAATCGTTAAATAAAAATTATACATATTAAAAAGGGGGATCCCTGACAGCTGGCCATCCAACCTCTGCTTAAAAACCTCGCAGGAAGGAGAGCCCTCCGCTAATCCATCAGATTCCTCTCTTTTGCCTCTTCACCCCTTTCTTCTGATCCGACACCCGCATTGGTTTGCCAGCCAGCCAGAACTGGGAGGGACAAGTAACAAGCCAAGGCTGCTCAGCTGCAGATCACACACTGCTCCCTTGGGCTCACCCAAACCGGATAGTCCTGTTTGTCGTGTGCAGGAGACGCCTCTTGGGTGACTTCAAATACAGCCTCTTCTTCCTGGTGGGTCCCTGAGCTGGACTCCTCTCAGTCCCAGGAGGAATAAAGGCCATCTCTCTCTGTGGGTTAAACCACAGAGCCTAGGACTTTCCGATCAGAAGGTCAGCGGTTCGAATCCCCACGACGGGGTGAGCTCCCGTTGCTTGGTCCCTGCTCCTGCCAATCTAGCAGTTCGAAAGCACGTAAAAAGTGCAAGTAGATAAATAGGAACCACTCCGGTGGGAAGGTAAACGGCATTTCCGTGCGCTGCTCTGGTTCGCCAGAAGCGGCTTAGTCATGCTGTCCACATGACCCAGAAGCTGTACGCCGGCTCCCTCGGCCAATAAAGCGAGATGAGCGCTGCAACCCCAGAGTCGGCCACGACTGGACCTAATGGTCAGGGGCCCCTTTACCTTACTTCTCTCTTTTTAAAAGCAATCACAATCTCCCAAGAATGCCTGCTGGCCTTAACGCTTTGCATCTGTGCCTCCTCCTCCTCGTCGCCTCTGTTATTCCTCCAGCGCTGCTTTTCCTAATCCCCGGTCGTCTTTGAAGAAGCATGAGCAGGCAGCCAGGGCGTTTGTTCATCTTTTTCTTCCAGGGACATGTGTCAGGGTCATAGGATGGACAGGCTGAGAGGGAGAAAGCAAGAGTGGGGTGTCCAGTTTAAAGGTCCCACTTGGACGTTGGCTCTCCAGCCCTCAGAGTCCTAGAACTGCAATTCTAATAATTCTAATTCCAATAATAATAATAATAATAATAATAATAATAATAATTTATTATTTGTACCCCACCCATCTGGCTGGGTTTCCCCAGCCACTCTGGGCGGCTTCCAACAAAGATTTAAAATACATTAAAATGTCACACATTAAAAACTTCCCTGAACAGGGCTGCCTTCAGGTGTCTTCCAAAGGTCAGGTAGTTGTTTATCTCTTTGACATCTGATGGGAGGGCGTTCCACAGGGCGGGCGCCACTACCGAGAAGGCCCTCTGCCTGGTTCCCTGTAGCTTCCCTTCACGCAATGAGGGAACCGCCAGAAGGCCCTCAGCGCTGGACCTCAGCATCTGGGCAGAATGATGGGGGTGGAGATGCTCCTTCAGGTATACAGGACCGAGGCCATTTAGGGCTTTAAAGGTCAGCACCAACACTTTGAATTGTGCTCGGAAACGGACTGGGAGCCAATGTAGGTCTTTCAAGACCAGTGTTATGTGGTCTCGGTGGCCGCTCCCAGTCACCAGTCTGGCTGCCGCATTCTAGATTAGTTGTAGTTTCTGGGTCACCTTCAACATGTCCAGTTTAAAGGTCTCCAGCCCTCATAAGAATCCTAGAATTGCAATTCCAAGGCTGCTGTGGCCGACGTCTTTGAACCATCAGGTTCCTGCGTCAACAAGGATGCCGTTAGATTCCTCTTGAAAGTCAATAATCTGGGAGACAGAAATACCACACTCACCCTGCTGTATCCAAACCTTTTAGCCACAGGTGCCTTTGATGGCCAATGGGGGTTCTCCACCACTGAGCCATTATGGGCTAGCAGACAGCCGGTAGGGGGTTGAGTGTTGGGCTGTGACCAGGAAGAGACAGGGTCTCACTTGATCCTGAAGCCCCCTGGATCTTGGGGGCCAGTCTCAATGCCTCTCAGCCTAACCAACCGACCTCGTAGGGTTATTGTGTGGATGAAATGAGGAGGGGAAGAACCACGTACATCGACTAAAATAAAATAAAATTTGCGCAGATTTAAAACCTTCTGTTGGCCTGTGCTTTATAGAACACCCTCCCACCAGATGTCAAAGAGAAAAACAACTACAGCGGTACCTTGGGTTACAGATGCTTCAGGTTACAGACTCCGCTAACCCAGAAATAGTACTTCGGGTTAACAACTTTGCTTCAGGGTGAGAACAGAATTTGTGTGGCGGCAGCGGGAGGCCCCATTAGCTGAAGTGGTGCTTCAGGTTAAGAACAGTTTCAGGTTAAGAACGGACCTCCAAAACGAAACAAGTTACCACAGTACCAGACTTTTAGAAGACATCTGAAGGCAGCCCTGTTTAGGGAAACTTTTAATGTTTAATAGAATATTGTATTTTAATATTCTGTTGGAAGCCGCCCAGAGTGGCTGGGGAAACCTAGCCAGATGGGCGAGGTATTGTTGTTTTTGTTTAGTCGTTTAGTTGTGTCCGTCTCTTCGTGAACCCCTGGACCAGAGCACGCCAGGCACTCCTGTCTTCCACTGCCTCCCACAGTTTGGTCAAACTCATGCTGGTATCTTCGAGTACACTGTCCAACCATCTCGTCCTCTATCGTCCCTTCTCCTTGTGCCCTCCATCTTTCCCAACATCAGGGTCTTTTCCAGGGAGTCTTCTCTTCTCATGAGGTGGCCAAAGTATTGGAGCCTCAGCTTCAGGATCTGTCCTTCCAGTGAGCACTCAGGGCTGATTTCCTGCAGAATGGAGAGGTTGGATCTTCTTGCAGTCCATGGGACTCTCAAGAGTCTCCTCCAGCACCAGAATTCATAAGCATCCATTCTTCGGCGATCAGCCTTCTTTATGGTCCATCTCTCATTTCCATACATCACTACTGGGAAAACCAGAGCTTTTACTATACGGACCTTTGTTGGCAAGGTGATGTCTCTACTTTTTAAGATGCTGTCTAGGTTTGTCATTGCTTGGGCGAGGTATAAATAATAAATTATTGTTATTATTACAGCCATTATATTCCTGCCTATTGATATGTAGCAACTGCCTTTAGCTGTTCTCTTTCCGGCACCCGCTAACAGCATTCTTGTTCGGGCAAACCCACCCAGATCCTTAGAAAGCTGGTGTGGGTTTAATCTGTTTTAGCATTTTAACTTTTTATGTTTCGGAGTATGCTTCTAAACCTTTCTTGTGATACGATACGATAATCTTTATTGTCATTGTCCCATACAGAACAACGAAATTGAAAAAATCTACATCAGACATTCAAAAACCATATATATATTTTGTAAACCTTGAAGGCTTTTCGTTTGCTTGTTGGCTTGCTTTTTGTTTTTTTGCAACCGAGCGGTATATAAATTTTATCAAACAGATGAAAGAAACAAACCATTCCTCTCTTTCCCCTCTCAGTTTCGCTTTCCTCCTTTTCCGTGTATGGCTCCGTTGCTGGAAGAGAAGACAGAGACTGCAACCTCTCCCAGGCCCCCGTCTGCCCCCCATGTGTGGGGCTTGGGGGCTGTGGCTTCCATTGCCCCCCTTATCTTGCTGCTGCTGCTCTGCTTTCCCTTCAAAAGGTAGGTGGCAGTCCTGGGGTGTCACAGTGGGGCTGTGTTCAGGGTCCTGGGACACTTAGGAGAACCTGGACACAGGGGGGTGGGTTGTCCCTCCAGGCTGGTGTGTCCTGCAACAGACAACATGCCATTGATGCAGCAATAGTGGTTTAGTTGTGGGTTTGTAATAATAATAATAATAATAATAATAATAATAATAATAATAATTTATCAATTATATCCCGCCTTCCCCAGCCGAAGCCGGGCTCAGAGCGGCTAACAACAGTAAAAATTACACAGTTTACATAAAATCACAATCAATTACATTCTAATATCCATTCAGAGTCAAATTAATGGCAACCATTGGGCTAGATTTCTATGAGGATTACCAAAGGAGAGAGGGGGTCAGACTGTGCCTTGGCCAAAGGCCTGGTGGAACAGCTCTGTCTTGCAGGCCCTGCGGAAAGATGTCAAGTCCCGCAGGGCCCTAGTCTCTAGTGAAAGAGCGTTCCACCAGATCGGGACCACAGCACCGGGTATAGCACCGGGTGAATGTGATCCCATAGCAAGGACCCCGTAAGGAGTCTTGCCGTGGCATTCTGCACCCGCTGGAGTTTCTGGGTCAGTCTCAAGGGCAGCCCCACATAGAGTGAGTTACAATAATCAAGCCTGGAGGTGACCATCGCGTGGATCACAGTGGCTAGGTCAGGGCGAGAGAGGTGAGGAGCCAACTGCTTAGCTTGGCGTAGATGAAAAAGTGCCGCCTTTGTTATAGCTGCAATCTGGACCATCCACATGTCATTCTGGTTTAATAGTTGTTCGACGATGCCTCCCTGGTGTTAACACATTCTCGCCACAACAAAGGCAGGATCCCACCCACTTATTAGCATACATGAAATGAAGAAGTACAGGATTCCAGCAGGAATCCACAGGGCACGCTTTGACTGGAAGCAAAGCAAAGTCCAGACTTCGAGCGGTTAACTAAAGTCCCCAGTTACATGTTTTAAATGTGCATTGGATGGGATTAAAATGTATAGTGTAGATCACAGAATCATAGAATTGTAGGAAAGTAGCCCATCTAGGTCAGGGTTTCCCAAACGTAGGTCTTCAGCTGTTGTTCAGCTACGATTCCGTTCATCCCTTGCCGCTGGTCCTGCTAGCTAGCTAGGGATGATGGGAGTTGTAGTCCAACAATAGCTGGAGATTCAGGTTTGGGAAACTCTCATCTGGGCTAACCTCCCGCAATGTGGGAAAGTATCAACTAAAGCAGCGGTTCTCAACCTGTGGGTACCCAGATGTTGTTGGACTACAACTCCCATCATCCCTGAGCTCCGGCCTTGCTAGCTGGGGTGATGGGAGTTGAAGTTCAACAACATCTGGGGACCCACAGGTTGAGAAAGGCTTAACTAAAGGATCCAAGACAGATGGCCATCCAGTCTCTGCTTAAAAACCTCCCCAGCTCCTTCAACCGTTCCTCATCAGGCTTGGTTTTCAGACCCTTGATCTCCCTCCTCTGCACACATTCAATATCCTTCTTAAACCGGGGTTCCCAGAACTGGACACAGGACTAACCTGGGGTCTGACCAAATTTGGGGCTTTTACTGCATCTGATTTGGCAGTCCTGAGTGAAACTTCTAATGAATTTGTATGGACAACGTAGCCACTTACCCAGACGCTGGATAGCCCAAGAGACTTCCAGAGTCATGCTTTGATTTCAGGGCCTCGGGGTCTGAACCGTGTTTTCTTTCTTTCTTTCTTCCTTTCTTTCTTTAAACTTTTATTTTGCTTTAAACAGGTACATATAAATATAGACAACCAAAATTACAAAGTAAAATTCCTTAATAGTAATGGGGGGGGGGCTACAAAAAACTACAAAAAATTTCGAAGCACATGACACAGAACATAAGCAACTATGGGAAAGATAAAAGAATAGAAAAAAGAAAAACAGGGGAAAAAAGAAAAAGGTAAAGGAAGATGAGCCAAAGCAGGAAAGCTCATCTATTGTACACTTCCGTCAAGCTCACAACAGATCATTATTCTTATCAATTCTCTCTATCTGCATTCCAAAGGAATCCCTCATCTTGGTATCAGGGAACATTTCTCTATGCGGTGTCATTCTAAACATAGCCAGATCTTTCTTGTTGAGCCCTTGTCCCCTAAATAATTATTTAAACGTTCCCATTCTTCTTTCACCAATTTTTTAGGTTTATCTCTTATTGGATCTGTCAGCATTGCGAGCTCCAAGTACTCGCACAATTTGACTACCCATTCCTCTTTAGTGGGTGTATTTTTATCTTTCCAGTGTTTTGCCACCATAACCCTTGCTGCTGACGTTGCATACATAAATAGCCTAGTTTTGTTTTTGGGAATATTATCTGAAACCATTCCTAGTAAAAATTCTTCTGGTTTCTTGCTAAATGTAATTTTTATCAATCTCTTTATCTCTTCATAAATCATGTTCCAAAATCTTTGTATCTCTAGACAGCACCACCACATATGGTAGTATGTTCCTATCTGTTCCTTACATCACTAGCATTGAACCGTGTTTTCAATGGCATCGCAAGGAGCATGCAGTAAATCTCTTGACTCAAAAGCCGAGCAATGTGTCTCTCTCTCTGTTGCAGGAAAAAACGGCAATTATCAACCCGAACTTTTAAGAGAGACCCATCAGATCTCATCAGCGTGGTGAGTCCTTCCAGTGTCTGTCTCCAAGGGAGGTTTGGAAACGCCAGCCAGATGCTTCCCACATCCTAAGGCAGCCTTTGACAACCTGGTGCCCTTCAGAAGTTCTGAGCTAGAACTCCCATCGTTTTCTTCCTTGTGATGGTTGCGGCTGATTGGAGATTTGGCCCCCCAACATTTGGCGGGCGCCATGTTGGGGAAGCATGGGGAGCCAGCTGGCATTTGTGACCAGCATGGTGGCAAGACTCTGAGCCCCCGCCCCAGTTATGCCTTTGATCTCTGAAATCCAACACCCGGGGGGGGGGTTCACCAGAATTTTAAGGAACATTTGGTTTCCGAGCACAATTCAAAGTGTTGGTGCTGACCTTTAAAGCCCTAAATGGCCTCGGTCCAGTATACCTGAAGGAGCGTCTCCACCCCCATCGTTCAGCCCGGACACTGAGATCCAGCTCCGAGGGCCTTCTGGCGGTTCCCTCCCTGCGAGAAGCCAAGTTACAGCGAACCAGGCAGAGGGCCTTCTCGGTGGTGGCACCCACCCTGTGGAACGCCCTCCTACCAGATGTCAAAGAGAAAAACAACTACCAGACTTTTAGAAGACATCTGAAGGCAGCCCTGTTTAGGGAAGCTTTTACTGTTTGATGTATTACGGTATTTTGATATTTTGCTGGAAGCCGCCCAGCCAGATGGGCGGGGTATAAATAATAATAAAAATAATAATAATAATAATAATAATAATAATAATAATATTTGAGTGAATGCCATGGATGTCAATCCTCCTGGTCACGTTTCTCTCTCGCTCCCCCCCGCCAATCTCTCCTCCACCCAGACCACTTGGAGATTTTATTATTTTATTCTACAGTCGTACCTTGGTTCTCAAATGGAATCTGTTCCAGAAGTCAGTTCGACTTCAGAAAACGTTCGAAAACCAAGGCACGGCTTCTGATTGGCTGCAGCAATTTTCTACATTCAGTCGGAAGCCGCAGAAGCCGACTCAAGACTTTTGGCTTCCGAAAAACGTTCGCAAACCGGGAGCCAAAACGTTCGAGTCACAAGCTGTTTGAGAACCAAGGTACGACTGTATTTGTTTGAGTCAGCCATTTAGAAGTTTTATTCCTTTATAAGAAAGCACATAAAAGTTGCCATCCTCAAGGCACCCAGGTCCCAAGGTACACAGGGCTTCAAAAGTCAGAACCAGCATCCTGACTTTTTGCTTAGAAACAGGCTGGCAGACCTGTTTTCTTTTTCTCTTCGGGTCTCTTCTCCTTTAGGGTGCTGCTGCGCATTTGAGTTGTTTGGTACTCCTGCACTGTCTCTTAATCAGTTTCTTAAGCTGCCTGTGAGCATTGGAGGAGTTGGGAATACAAAACAAATAAGAATGTGTGCCTTTCTGCTGCTCCTTTGATAACCTAGACAGGTAAATCATTAACTCTTAGAGTCAACCTAGACGCTGCACGCGGCTTGCAATCTGTGACCTTAACTACAGTATTTTAAAAACACCAATTGCCAGTGGTGTTGGGTCTGTGTGTGTGTGTGTGTGTGTGTGTGTGTGTAACCCTAGCATGCAGTTAGGGGACTTTAACTATTAGGGCCGCCCCCCACTGGGGTCCCAGTTCAGACACATGTCTATTTATTCTGGCAGTTTTCATACTGGAAAAAGAGAAGTCCACTTAATGGAAACTTCCTCCTTAGCCAATTTGACAGCATTAAGGCCTTAAGTGTACAGTTCTGTGTGTGTGTGTGTGTGTGTGTGTGTGTGTGTGTGTGTGTATATATATGTATATATATATATATATATATATATATATATATATATACAGCCTTAACCTAGATGGTGAATGTGCAGCGCATTCACATCCCAAGAGGGTCTTGTTGCTTCCACTGCTGCAGCCTCCAGTTCCAAGAGACCCCAAACATTACGTCTGCAGCGCAGCAGCTGGACTGATGACTGGGAACGGCTGCCGAGACCACATAACCACATACTATTATGTTTAGTGTTTCCTAAGCTGTCTCAGGCTGCCCTCCTGCACCTGCCACCTTGTGAGTAAGCTGCAAAGAATTCAGTGGGATTCACATACGATGAATAGGATTGCCCTGCAATTTGCTCTGTTCCCCGGGTCCACGTCACACTTTATGTGTTTTTAGTGGTGCAAAAGGCTCTATGTGTGCACACAGTCAATGCATTATGGCTGCGCATCTCACACAGGGACATTGTCTGGGATTGGCCGCAGCTCCCTGCTGCCAGGAGTTGGAAAAGCCCATTAGTCAAAGGATCACAAATTAAGCTGCCCTGTACTTCCCTACAGAATGTCAAACTTCACCCTGCAAGGAGAAACATCTCCTACTAGATCAACTGGATGTCTCTCAGAATCCCTTCCAACTCTTGTTTAATCCCTCCTATCTGTGCTTCACCCTATAAAGACATAACAATCCAGAATGTGGCAGCTAGACTGGTGACTGGGAGCGGCCGCCGAGACCACATAACCCCGGTCTTGAAAGACCTACACTGGCTCCCAGTATGTTTCCGAGCACAATTCAAAGTGTTGGTGCTGACCTTGAAAGCCCTAAACGGCCTCGGTCCAGTATACCTGAAGGAGCGTCTCCACCCCCATCGTTCTACCCGGACACTGAGGTCCAGCACTGAGGGCCTTCTGGCGGTTCCCTCCCTGTGAGAAGCCAAGTTACAGGGAACCAGACAGAGGGCCTTCTTGGCACAACTAAACGACTAAACAACTCAACAACAACAACAACAGTTTGTCCAACTATGTTCTCCACCCTGCACTCAAGGCCTGGAAAAAGTTTGGGAACCACGGATCTAATTCATTATTCTCTATTCCAGAGGGTTCTTAACCTGTGGTCCATTCCATGCATGGGCTTCAGGGGGTCCTTGAAGGAAATCAGTCCCTAGTGCATTAAAAATAAACTGCGTCCAACATTTGTGTGTGCATGTGGTTTGTGCACACTTTTTTCCACGGAGGGGCTCTGCAGGCTCCATCGCATTCTCAAAGGGGTCTGTGACCCCAAAAAGGTTAAGAGCTACTGGTCTGCTCTGGTTGGCAGCAGATCGTATTGGGTTCGAAACATGGTGTGTTGTCCCAGATATCGGTCATCGAACCTGGGACTTTCTATATGCAAAGCAGATGCTCTTGCTGTGAGTCCCGTTCCAAAGGCATTAGGAGGCATCATTCTCCTCCCAGTGGTAATGTGGGTCGGCTCCTCTGGTTCCTCCGTTCCTCAGAAAGGCATGTTGAAGCTGGCATTTGCCACTAAGTGGCAGCATATACTCAGCTCTGCGGTTTACCGTTCCTTTTGCTTGTGATTAAGAACAGGACAGGCTAGAACAGCCAGATGCCTTTAAAATACACACACCCCAAGCCCACGATGCATATAGGAAACTTAGAAGTTGGTGCAGGAGTCGCTGTTTGTGGGTGGCACCCACTTGCATACTGCCAAATGCAGCTTGCAGAGTTCGGTTTGGACCTGGGCTTTTGCACAAGGAACCCACTTTCCCCAAAGCTTTTTTGTGCACTAGAAAGAGTAAAATAACAATTGTTTGGTGTGAAGCCTTGCAATCACGTACAATCATAGAATTGCAGAGCTGGAATGGACCCCGGGAGTCAAAAGTGCAAACAAACCGGGGCACCAGAGTGGCGAAGGATCATATGTGGTGTGTTTTCCAGGAAGTAACAGAGCAAGAAATGTACCCATCTCATTTTTAGGTGTCTGTCTCTTCTTATGGCGCAAAGCTATTCCACTCCACAAACATCTAAAGAGCCAATCGCACAGAATGGTGATAAGTGAATGTTTGGTTAACAGCACAGCTTAAATGAAGGCTGGGCAGTCTGATTTAGGGAACAACTCGCTTTCTCCTGGCAAATTTGGGCTCCAGGCTCATTACCCCCTCAGCCTCTTCCTTTTGCACCAGAAGGAGAAGGCAAGCACCCCTGAAATGGCCCTGGGAACAGCTGCTGCGCTTTGGAGCTCCAGTTCTGACTGAGCATCCTTTGTTTTTTGCTCCAGAACCTCCCCCACAAAAAGCTGCTCTTTAAAGCTGAATTGGAGCAAACAGCAGTCCAAGGAAAACTCTTTCTGCCATGAAGGAAGCCCAGGTGTATTTTGTCTGGATGGAGCCACAGGAGACCTGCTTTCAGCAGCATGCCAAGGCCCCAGAGGTGTCACCTTATCCTTCAACTTTTTAAATTTTTCTTTCATTCCTTCTTACGCAGACGAGACTGGAAGACCGGATGAGCCCAGCTGAGAAGACCTTTGAAGATGGAGAGTTGCACAACAGTAAGTGGGCATTTCTCCATGCTTGAAATGTGCTGTTTATAAGAGTGACATGTTAGCATGTTGTCTTTCTGCAATAGATTCCAAGTATATCAAGTAAAGCAATACAGTGGAACCTTGGTTCTCGAACTTAATCCGTTCTGGAAGTCCTTTCAACTCCCAAAACGTTCGAAAACCAAGGCGCGGCTTCCAATTGGTGCAGGCGCCCTGGAAACAATAGCCTATAGCCACATCGGATGTTTGGCTTCTGGAAAAAAAACCTTTCAAAAACCGGAACACTTACTTCCAGGTTTTCGGCGTTTGGGAGCCGATTTGTTCGTCAGCTAAGCCGTTTGAGAACCAAGGTTTCACTGTATTCAATAATCCATTAGAATATAATAGTACAGTAAACAGTACAATTGCATATCTTCAAATAATAAACAAAGAGTTTCACTTAGCAATTACAACAATTACTAAACTGTAATCAATAAAAATAATGGCAAGTCACAATGTATAAAACCACAATGTATAAAACCACAAAACCATGTGACAGGATCAAATTGAGAAACAAGGACACACTAATTATATCATCTATCTATCTATCTATCTATCTATCTATCTATCTATCTATCTATCTATCATCTACCTATCCTCTTTTCTCTCCCCATGGGACCAGACCCATGAATGGATCGGTTTGATCTTCTTGCAGTCCATGGGACTCTCAAGAGTCTCCTCCAGCACCATAATTCAAAAGCATCAATTCTTCGGCGATCAGCCTTCTACTGCTTCTAGTGAGAGCCAGTGTGGTGTAGTGGTTAAGAGCGGTAGACTCGTAATCTGGGGAACCGGGTTCGCGTCTCCGCTCCTCCACATGCAGCTGCTGGGTGACCTTGGGCCAGTCACACTTCTCTGAAGTCTCTCAGCCCCACTCACCTCACAGAGTGTTTGTTGTGGGGGAGGAAGGAAAGGAGAATGTGAACCGCTTTGAGACTCCTGAAGGGGAGTGATAAAGCGGGATATCAAATCCAAACTCTTCTTCTCTTCTTCTCTCAAAGTCATGGTCTGGGAAAGGCTCCTAGGGCTGGATGTTGGCGCAAGACAGGTGGTGAAAGCCTTTCTCATCCACAGGAGCGTGAGAAAGTGTTTTGCTTGACACCCCCCAGCCCATCTCTCCACACCTTTGGCCGGGAACTCAGGGCAGCCGGCAGCAAAGGGGAAAGCTCTCTTTCCTGCTGGAACAATAGCCTCCCATCTGCAAATAGCTCGAGGCCTTGCAGGCAAACGGTGCGCCTGTTTCTGCACACACATGCGCTTCCCTTCCAGTCCTGGAGTTGGTGTCTGAGGCAGCGGCTTCTCAGCTTTCAGAAAGTGAAAGCTCTTTCGGATCAGCCCCAGACTCGTTTGCTTCGCCTACGATTACGGGGAGAAAACAAAGGCCTCTGCTTCAATGCTCCCAATAGCTCAGATAATATTCTTTGCTGCGTACTGACAGCAAATGCACCAGGGTGTTCCATATCACAAGTCTCGATGGCAGAGGGCAGATTTCCCCACAGATTTGCTCCGCTTATAGAGCCTAATCAGGGCATCTCCTGTTTAAACCTGATACAGTGGTGCCCCGCAAGACGAATGCCTCGCAAGACGGAAAAACCGCTAGACGAAAGGGTTTTCCGTTTTGAAGTTGCTTCGCAGGACGAATTCCCCTATGGGCTTGCTTCGCAAGACGAAAATACCTTGCAAGTCTTGAGATTTTTTTTTCGCTTTTCCCCCCCTTTATCTAATCTGCTAAGCCTTTAATAGCCTTTAATAGCCTTTTAGCAACTAATCCCCTAAGCCTTTAAGCCTTTAATAGCCGCTAAACCGCTAATAGCGCTAATAGCGCTAATCCGTCAATGGGCTTGCTTCGCAAGACGAAAAAACCGCTAGACGAAGACTCTCGCGGAACGGATTAATTTCGTCTTGCGAGGCACCACTGTATAGATAATGTTTGCTGAACCTAAGCTCTCAACTGAAACTCAGTGTAGACTCTTTCAGGTGAACTTTGCTAAACCTGAGCTGCTGCGCCGCCTTCTATTTTGATCAGGCAGCTCAGATTTTGCAAGACTTCATTGTTTCAGCAAGGCTGCAGTTTTCAGCAGACTTACTTGTCCAATGCAACTCAGCAGGACTCTCTGAGTAAACATGCAAAGGGGCCATATTGTAAGGAGCTAAGGGCTTATTGCCACTTCCTCTTATCCCGCTGCTCAAAAGTGTGCAATCGGAGCAAATGGCAATCCGGGTTTTCTCTGTATTGATGTTTGTTCAGATTTAGCACTGAAGAGCAGGTTTTCCCTGGGAACAGGAACAGGGCAAGGGGGAAACCACTCATGCCCTAATTTGGATAGTGGTTTGCTTTGACTTAGCATAGGGTTAGTCAAATGGGTCAGTTCTGGTTTCTCTCATAGTTCCAGTCTTCATTTCCATATCAGTTCACTTTAAAAAAAATAAAAAAAATTGTCATGCAAACTACTAGCATTTTAGTGTGAATTTTTCCAAAATACATATTTTCCCCCAAAAGCAATTTCCTGCAGTACAGGGCCGTCTTTACCTGGGGGTGCAAGGGGTGCAAGGCACCCAGGGGCTGAATTCAGGGGGGGTGCCAAATGTATACCTACTGTATACCAGTCCCTCTCGATTGCCGGCAGTGAAAAGCAATGGAGCGGAAGTCCCTCTCCCCCCGTCTCTCTGTTAGTCCGTAGCGTCAAATATTCCCGACGAGTAAGGAAACAAAAGCAGTTTTTCTTGCTGTGTCGTTGTTACAAGTGAGCGATCCCCCCCAAAAGTTCAACAACTTTTTTGAGTTTGCCCCCTAAAAAGGCCAACAACTTTGGCTTCCCCCATCCCAAAAAGCTCAATAAAAGTTAATTTGGGGGCGACTAAACTAAATTTGGGGGCGCTAGGCGGATCTTTGCACCCTGGCAGCACATATGTTAAAGACGGCCCTGCTGCAGTCTAGTACATTTGTGTGTATTATTTTCACCAACATGGGTCTTTCAATGTACACTTCACCCCAGGATATGCCGTTTTCGGGTGCCGCTGTGGGTTAAACCACAGAGCCTAGGACTTGCTGATCAGAAGGTCGGTGGTTCGAATCCCTGTGATGGGGTGAGCTCCCGTTGCTCGGTCGCTGCTCCTGCCCACCTAGCAGTTCGAAAGCATGTCAAAGTGCAAGTAGATAAATAGGTACTGCTCCGGCGGGAAGGTAAATGGCGTTTCCGTGCGCTGCTCTGGTTTTGCCAGAAGCGGCTTAGTCACGCTGGCCACATGACCCGGAAGCTGTACGCCGGCTCCCTTGGCCAATAAAGCGAGATGAGCGTCGCAACCCCAGAGTTGGCCATGACTGGACCTAATGGTCAGTGGTCCCTTTACCTTTATACATCACTTAGCCGGAGAACTGCATTTCAAGATTTAGAGAAGTCTGCTTTTCAAAGGGCGCCTGAGTTTTTGGTCTGCTTTTTATTTTGGAAATAGCAAATCGGGTTGGTTCGCTTTTAAGTGAGAACAGAACCCAATTCCCTCCACCCCTCATCCCTAACCTAGCAAGTCCCTTCAGCAAAGCTCCTCTGCTAAATACCCCTTCACACACCTATTTTTATTTAGTCAATTCCTTATCCTGACTTCTAAAGTGAACATTATTTCTTCCAAGGTGGCAAGCACGTTTTTTTTAAAAAAACAAGGCCAAATTAAATGCAGAAGAACTGCAGAAACAAAACAGAACTGTAAAGGTCACGAGAACAATAAAAACAGCAATAAACCCATAAAACACTGAAAGCAGCCGGCAAATGAAAGCATCCAGCCTTTGAAAGCCACAGCCAAATAAATCTGTTTCCATGTGGTGCCTGAAATATGTAGGGGGAGGCCATGTGCAAGGGGGCATTTTTTTAAGAAGCAGAGAACCAGCACTGAGGAAGCCCAGTTTTCTGTTCCCACCTGCCAAATCCCATGGAGATGGGAGGCAGGGAACCCTAAGAACGACTTCCTCGGATGACCTTAATGCCTGGGGCATCTCAGGCGGAAGCGAGCAATTCTTGGCTACTTCCAGGCAGCTGACCGGCTCACGCAAAACTTGCACAGGGGTTAAACGGTGTCACTCACTTACAGAGCATTCCTCTTGTTACACACACCATTGCAAGCTAGTGGCTGTTATCCTTTCCAGCACCATTTCCCATCGCTGTTCTTACCAGACTTTTTGCGCTTCGGGAAGCGGCGGAGGGACTGCGCTACCTTGGAAATGGGGGATCTCTCCTTCCTTGGAGGTTTTTAAGCAGAGGTTTGGGGGGACGACCACCTGCCAAGGATGCTTTAGCTGTGATTCCTCAGCGGCTTTTGATACCTTCGACCATAACATCCTTCTGGACCGTCTAGAGGGGCTGGGAGCTGGGGGCACTGTCATACAGTGGTTCCGCTCCTTCCTCCTGGGGCGTGTTCAGAAAGTGGTGGGGGGGATGAGTGTTCAGACCCCTGGCCCCTCACTTGTGGGGTGCCTCAGGGTTCCGTCCTCTCCCCCATGCTTTTCAACATCTACATGCAGCCGCTGGGAGAGATCATCAGGGGGTTTAGGCTGGGTGTCCATCAGTATGCGGATGATACCCAGCTCTACCTCTCTTTCAAATCAGAACCAGTGAAGGCAGTGAAGGTCCTGTGTGAGTGTCTGGAGGCGGTTGGAGGATGGATGGCGGCTAACAGATTGAGGATGAATCCTGACAAGACAGAAGTACTGTTTGTGGGGGGACAGGAGGCGGGCAGGTGTGGAGGACTCCCTGGTCCTGAATGGGGTAACTGTGCCTCTGAAGGACCAGGTGCGCAGCCTGGGAGTCATTCTGGTCTCACAGCTGTCCATGGAGGCGCAGGTCAATTCTGTGTCCAGGGCAGCTGTTTATCAGCTCCATCTGGAACACAGGCTGAGACCCTTCCTGCCCGCAGGCTGTCTCGCCAGAGTGGAGCATGCTCTAGTTATCTGCAATGCGCTCTACGTGGGGCTACCTTTGAAGGTGACCCGGAAACTGCAATTAAGCCAGAATGTGGCAGCTAGACTGGTGACTGGGAGTGGCTGCCGAAACCACACAACACCGGTCTTGAAAGACCTACATTGGCTCCCAGTACGTTTCCGAGCACAATTCAAAGTGTTGGTGTTGACCTTTAAAGCCCTAAATGGCCTCGGTCCAGTATATCTGAAGGAGCGTCTCCATCCCCATCGTTCTGCCCAGACATTGAAGTCCAGCACAGAGGACCTTCTGGCGGTTCCCTCCCTATGATAAGCAAAGCTACAGGGAACCAGGCAGAGGGCCTTCTCGATGGTGGCACCTGCCCTGTGGAACGCCCTCCCACCAGATGTCAAAGAGATAAACAACTACCTGAGATTTAGAAGGCATCTGAAGGCAGCCCTGTTCAGGGAAGTGGCCAGCCGTAGTTTAACTACATATGTCAGGGGTGTCCAAACTTTTTTTCAAAGAGGGCCAGGTTTGATGAAGTGAACATGTGTGAGAGCTGACCAAAGAGTTGTTGACCTTATTTAGGATTGAAGTTGTTGATGTTTTGGCATTTTACCCCAAAGTTGTTGAGCTTTTCTTAGGATAGAAGTTGTTGAGCTTTTTGAAGGATTTCCCCCCCAGAAAATAAACTGCTGCAGGGTCCACATTAAACCAACTGGCAGGCCGGATTAGGCCCCCAGGCCTGACTTTGCACATGCCTAAATGTGGTTCTTCCACTCCCACATGTTGCCGCCGAATCTCCTGTTGGCATTGCTCATGGCCACACGTTACCTCCTGGTGATGTCATAAGCCTTGCAAACTGGTTTCCTGAGCCTGACTACTATGGTGGCGGGTGTGTGTGTGTGTGTGTGCCAGAAAGCGGCTGGCAAGCGTGGCTCTCTCTTCTCTAGCCATGGGCGAGTCAGAAACCTGTCCCATGGGAGTCAAGAAAACAGGGAGGTGTGTGCAATCAGTTCCTGGGAGGCGATGAGAGATAAGATAGCGAGAGGGAACATCAAAACAACATCTCCTGGCAGCTGAGGAAGGCAGGTGGATCCTGGCTGGGAGCTTATTCAATTCTGACACATTTATTGATTGGTTTTATTCCACCAGCCCATCAGTCAATCGGTCAACTGACTTTTTAATGAGTGTCTCAAGGCAGTTTGCAGACACGCCATAAAAACAGTTAATATAGTTTTCGAAACCATGCAAAAAAGGCAAACCGAAGAAAGGTTTTTTAAGCAATGCAGGATGAATATATAAGGCTAGAGACCTTTCCACCCAAGCTTGTCTCAAAATAATAATAATTAAAAAATGCCTTCAGTTGTTTGCAAAAAAGGACCGATTGTGGGCACCCATTGTTTCTCACCAGGGATGGTTTTCCACAGAGTAGGGGCAACCACACAGAAAGCCCTGCTCAGAGTTGCTGTGGAGCAGGAGTCTGATATTTTAGGGGCCGGCCAGCGGGGGCGCACTCTCCTTCAGAACACTTCCCATGAACTCAATGGAACATTTAATAATTGGGGGAAATAATAAGGGGTCATATTTCGATGAGGATGGTATTGTGCAGACACTGTACAAAACTTGGAAGGCAGAGCAGGGCCGAGTCCACAGTAAACTGCCATGTGGAAGTACAGCCATACCTTGGTTGTCAAACGCCTTGGTACTCATCCGTTTTGGCTCCCCAATGCCGCAAACCTGGAAGTGAGTGTTCTGGTTTGCGAACGTTCTTCTGAGGCTTCCAACCAAGTGCAGAAAGCTCCTGCAGCCAATTGGAAGCCGTGTCTTGGTTTTCGAACATTTTCGGAAGTCGAACGGACTTCCAGAACAGATTCTGTTCGACAACCAAGGTACAACTGTATCTTACACATTATTTGGAAGTGAGTCCTACTGATTTAATGGAACGGCGGCCTGAACGACATCACTTCCCATTCCCAGACATTTTAATTCCTCCCTGAACCTGCTGCTTAGGTGCAGCTGCCTCTGTAGTTAAAGGCCATCTCTGCCAGCAGAACCTAATTCAGGGCATGTTATAGATTGGGATGTTGGGTAATGACGACTCTGTGAAGTTCCACAGCTGGCCCACGTTTACAACGAAGCCTTCAATCCAGCCCTGTAATCATAGAGCTGGAATGGGACCTCATGGTTCATCTTCTCCAACCCCTGCAATGCAGGAATCTCAGCTAAAGCATCCCTGACAGACGGCCACCCAACCTCTGCTTAAAAACCTCCAAGGAAGGAGAGTCCATCACTTTCTGAGGGAGGCCATTCCACTGGTGGGCGGAAAATTCTTCTGAATGTTTAGTCGGAATCTACTTTCTTGCCATTTGAACCCATCGGATTGGGTCCTCCACACCAGAGCAGCAGAAAGCTGGCTTGCTTCACCTCCCATGGGACAGCCCTTTGGTTATTTGATGGTGGCTCTTGTCCCGCTTCTCAGGCCACTCTGAAGGATCCAAGTAATAATAATAATAATAACAATAATAATTTATTATTTGTACCCCGCCCATCTGGCTGGATTTCCCCAGCCACTCTGGGCGGCTTCCAACAAAGATTAAAAATACATTAAAATGTCACACATTAAAAACTTCCCTGAAGTCTTCTAAATGTTAGGTAGTTGTTTATCTCTTTGACATCTGGTGGGAGGGCATTCCACAGGGAGGTCACCACCACCGAGAAGGCCCTCTGCCTGGTTCTCTGTAACTTGGCTTCTCACAAAGAGGCAACTGCCAGAAGGCCCTCGGAGCTGGACCTCAGTGTCCGGGCAGAACGATGGGGGTGGAGACGCTCCTTCAGGGATACTGGACCGAGGCTGTTTAGGACTTTAAAGGTCAGCACCAACACTTTGAATTGTGCTTGGAAATGTACTGGGAGCCAATGTAGGTCTTTCAGGACCAGTGTCATATGGTCTCGGCGGCCACTCCCAGTCACCAGTCTAGCTGCCGCATTCTGGATTAGTTGTAGTTTCCGGTTCACCTTTAAAGGTAGCCCCACGTAGAGCTCATTGCAATAGTCCAAGCCGGAGATAACCAGAGCATGCACCACTCTGGCGAGACACTCCGTGGCAGATAGGGTCTCAGCCTGCGTACCAGGTGGAGCTGGGAGATGCCTGCCCTGGACACAGAATTGACCTGTGTCTCCATGGACAGCGGTGAGTCCAAAATGACCCCCAGGCTGCACACCTGGTCCATCAGGGGCACAGTTACCCCATTCAGGATCAGGGAGTCCTCCACACCCACCCGCCTCCTGTCGCCCCAAAACTGTACTTCTGTCTTGTCAGGATTCAGCCTCAATCTGTTAGCCGCCATCCATCCTCCAACCGCCTCCAGGCACTCACACAGGACCTTCACCGCCTTCACTGGTTCTGATTTAAAGAGAGGTAGAGCTGGGTATCATCTGCATACTGATGAACACCCAGCCCAAACCCCCTGATGATCTCTCCCAGCGGCTTCATGTAGATGTTAAAAAGCATGGGGGAGAGGATGGAACCCTGTGGCTCTGGGGGGATGGTCAGGCAAGCACACTGCTCCCCCTCCCCAAGTTAAAACAGCCCTTTTGTGCGTGAATCTGAGCGCTGCAGTGGGCTTCCCCCTGTTGGAGGGTCTCTCCGGCATAAGTCCCGAGATGCCTCTGCCTGCCGTGAGCGTAAGGCGATTGGAATCTATTTAACGTGGATTATCTGCCAGATGGGGATGGTGGCTTTAAGGGGACATCTGGGTGATTCCGGCTAGGCTGGGGCAGGGGCGAAATGGCGGCAGCCTGCCCCAACCTGGTGCCCTCCACATGTTCTGGACAGTTGTGCTGGCAGGGGGGCGGTGATGGGAGCCGTAGCCCCACGCATCAGGAGGGCGTCTGGTTGGGGAAGACTGGGCTATGCATTGGGAAGAGATTTCCCCAGAACAGAAAAGGGGCTTTACTTTCACCTCTCCACCCCCCACTCCCAGCCCAGCTTTCAGACCTTTTTGGTCTTTATCCCTGAGTTCACAGAGAGCAAAGAGAACAATCCCTTTAACTCCCCGCAGGCAGCCGTTTTTAATTCTCGGGGCAGAAAGCTTGAGGCACAGACCACATTGTAGGTGGAGGGTGGCAGGGCAGAGTTTCATTTGGATTTTGTTTCAGACACATCAGAGACCCTGTAGTGTGGTTGTTGTTGTTTAGTCGTGTCCGACTCTTCGTGACCCCCTGGACCAGAGCACGCCAGGCACTCCTGTCTTCCACTGCCTCCCGCAGTTTGGTCAAACTCATGCTGGTAGCTTTGAGAACACTGTCCCACCATCTCGTCCTCTGTCGTCCCCTTCTCCTTGTTGCCCTCCATCTTTCCCAACATCAGGGTCTTTTCCAGGGAGTCTTCTCTTCTCCTGAGGTAGCCAAAGTATTGAAGCCTCAGCTTCAGGATCTGTCCTTCCAGTGAGCACTCAGGGCTGATTTCCTGAAGAATGGAGAGGTTGGATCTTCTTGCAGTCCATGGGACTCTCCAGAGTCTCCTCCAGCACCAGAATTCAAAAGCATCCATTCTTCGGCGATCAGCCTTCTTTATGGTCCAGCTCTCACTTCCATACATCACTACTGGGAAAACCATGGCTTTAACTATACGGACCTTTGTCGGCAAGGTGATGTCTCTGCTTTTTAAGATGCTGTCTAGGTTTGTCATTGCTTTTCTCCCAAGAAGGTGGTGTGGTTAGCCGTACTCATAGAATGGTAGAGTTAGAAGGGACCCTGACAATCATTTAGTCCAGGCACGTCCAACTCCAAAGAGACTGCAATCTACTCACAGTATAAAAAGACCAGCTGTGATCTACCCATTGTCGTTGCCAGGAGTTGTTCAGCTTTTTTTAGGGGAGGGTTGGCCAAAGGCGATCACTAAACTTCATCCTGCGATCTACCTGGGACACCCCCACGTTCTAATGGTAGATCACGATCTACCTGTTGGACATGCCTGATTCTAGTCAATGGGTAGGCAAACTAAGGCCCGGGGGCTGGATGCGGCCCAATCACCTTCTAAATCCGGCATGTGGATGGTCCAGGAATCAGCGTGTTTTTACATGAGTAGAATGTGTCCTTTTATTTAAAATGCATCTCTGGATTATTTGTGGGGCATAGGAATTTGCTCATCCCCCCCAAAAAAATATAGTCCAGCCCCCCACAAGGTCTGAGGGACAGTGGACCGGCCCCCTGCTGAAAAAGTTTGCTGACCCCTGATCTAGTCCAACCCAGTGCCTCATCTAGTCCAGCATCCTGTTCTCACAGTGGCCAATGAGGTGCCCATGTGAAACCCGCAAGCAGGATTCGAACCCAAGGCCAACTCTCTCCTCCTGTAGTTTCCGACAACTGCTATTCAGAAGCCTTGCTGCTTCCAGCTGTGGAGGCAGAGCTTTGCCATCGTGGCCAGTAGCCATCGTTAGCCCTCTCCTCCTCCATGAATTTGTCCAATCCTCTTTTAAAGCCATCCCAGCTGGTGGCCCGCACTGTCTCCTGTGGCAGTGAGTTCCACAGTTTAACTACGTGCTGCGTGAATAAGGACTTTCTTTTATCTGTCCTGAATCTTCCAGCCTTCAACTTTGTTGGGTATCTATGAGTTCCAGTGTTATGGCAGAAGGAGAAAAACTGTTCTCTCCCTTCTCTCTCCATGCCACACACAATTTTGCAAACTCGTCCCTCACTCGCCTTTTCCCTAAATAATGATGATGATGATGATGGTGATGATGATGATGATGATGATTTATTTCTACCCCACCCATCTGGCTAGGTTTCCTCAGCCACTCTGGGCAGCTTTCAACAGAACATTAAAAACAGAATAAAACATCAAACTTTAAAAAACTCCTCTAAACAGGGCTGCCTTCAGATGTCTTCTAAATGTCAGATAGTTATTTATCTCCTTGACATCTGATGGGAGGACGTTCCAGAGGGTGGGCACCACCACTGAGAAGGCCCTCTGCCTGGTTCCCTGTAACCTCACTTCTCGTAGGGAGGGAACTGCCAGAAGACCCTCAGTGCTGGACGATATACTAAATGTGCCTTCTGTCCACCTAAAAGGTAAAGGGACCCCTGACCATTAGGTCCAGTCACGGACGACTCTGGGATTGCGGCGCTCGCTTTATTGGCCGAGGGAGCCGGCGTACAGCTTCCGGGTCATGTGGCCAGCATGACTTAGCCGCTTCTGGTGAACCAGAGCAGCGCACGGAAACGCTATTTACCTTCCTGCCAGAGTGGTACCTATTTATCTACTTGCACTTTGATGTGTTTTCGAACTGCTAGGTTGGCAGGAGCTGGGACCGAGCAACGGGAGCTCACCCTGTCACGGGGATTCAAACTGCCAACCTTTGATCGGCAAGTCCTAGGCTCCGTGGTTTAACCCACAGCGCCACCCGCGTCCACCTAGCCCGGTATTTTCCACATTGTTTGGCCGCAGCTCTTACAGAGGTCTTGCCCAGCCTTGCCTAGAGATGCTGGGGACTTGAACTTGGGACGTTCTGCGTGCGAAACACCCACCCCTTCGCCTACCCAGCTGCAGGAACCTAACACGGCTGTTCTGGCAGAAACAGTTAACGCTCCGCTCCAGCGCTGACCACATTTCTTCTTTTGCTTGCTCTTGCTTCCCCCAGAGACAGGGGAATCTTCCAGCAGTAATTCCACACCAAACTGCTGTTGGCTAAGTGCGAGGCTGGAGCTGTGGGGGAAGACATATTCCAGCCAGAGGGAGCGCACCCCCCTTGCACCGTGGACGAATCTCCTGAGCAGGCAGAGAGTGGGTAGGGGAGACTTATTGGCTCCTGAGCCTGGGGGGTTCTGGGGTGCCCTCCTGTGGGACGCAGGCATGGGACATGTTTGTGTGCTTGTGTGGCTCCCGGCACTCGGAGAGCCAAGCTTGATGAGTCATTGCGGTTTGCTGGAGAGCAGCGCTTTGCTGAGAAGGAGCCAGGGCATTTGGAGAGTTGAGAAGACAGCGCTGAGTTGTGGGCAGCCGGCCCTGGATAGAGCTGGGCGTGTGTTGCTGTGCGTTGACATGGCCTCCCTGCCCTGGCTGCAGAGCAAAAACAAAAATTCGAGAGCAGTGGACGCTTAACACTTTAACCCTGGGGAAAGAGAACCACAAAACCCCTTTGCAAGGACAGTTGCGCCATTATTATTATTTTTTGAAAAGTTTTTATTGTTAAAATAATTCAACATTAATACACACATATTGCGAATATACAAGCATACAAACATACAATTCATACAATCCTTAAAAATATTCAAACATACCTACATTCAGTCCCACAGATAATTCCTTTTCCTATCACCATCCACCACCCCTCACCCCACCTTTGTGTTAGACTTCCAATCTACTCAATTGCAATTTCTTTCCACTTCTATTACTTTCTTTCACACACCTTTAACCTAATTTCATGCTTCTTTTTCTATTACACATTGTTATCCATCTTATTTAGTATTTCAGTATTTAAAACAGAACTTGTTTATTCTAATAGGAGTTCTGATTTTTCAATATGGTTTTGCAAGTATCCTTTAAACACCTTCCAATCCCCGTCTATCTTCTCTTTTGAGATCCTTCCAATTTCTCCCATTGTTTGTTAATTGCATTTGCAGAAGCATAAAATCAGAGTTGGAAGGGACCTCAGAGGTCATCCAGCCCAGCCCGCTGCAATGCACAAATCTCAACTATAGCGTCAATGACAGATGGCCATCCAACTTCTGTTTAAAGTGCACTGTTGACTAACTCAGGGTTTCCCAAACCTAGGTCTCTAGCTGTTTTTGGACTACAATTCCCATCATCCCTGACCACCGGTCCTGCTAGCTAGGGATGATGGGAGTTGTAGTCCAACAACACCTGGAAACCCAAGTTTTGGGAAACTCTGGACTAGCTCTTACAGTGGAGAGTCCTGCTTGAAACAGTTAAGGGCTGCTGCCAGCCAGGGCAGGAAGTACTAAGTTATATAGAGCAATGGTCTCAGGATAAACAGCTTCCTGTGTTCCTAGGTCCAGTTCCACTGCTTTTGGAATTTGTGCAGCACTGAATCTCTGCCTGAGGCGCTCCGAACCCACCTGCAATGTGCTCTTTGCAGGAGCAAAAGCAGGAAGGAAGCAGAAACATTTTCTTCCAGTTGGTCTTACTGCTGGGAACCTGTCGCCATTTGGGGGCTAGGGATTCACTGATATGTCCAGAAAATTCAGGCCGCACAATCCTAGTTTGTTTTGAGCTCTGCCGCAACAAACTCCACGTTCCCCAGGAGATCAGACTTTTGGCGAAAAGGAAAGTGATAAGGCACTTGCTTTGACCCGAAGTCATGAAACTTGCTCACAAACAAACCAGAACGGGCGTGCGTTCAATAGCCAGGCAACTAATCTCCCTGCCAACGAATCAGGGTGAATGCTCAATAAGCAGGCTGTTTGGCAGTGCCCTGTGGCAGAACAGTGGAGCCAGAACAACATGTGTTTGCGGAAGTCAGTGTGAAGCAGAAAAACCCCCTTCTCTGCATGGAAACCTCAGGATCCTTGCTCCTTCCTTCCTTCCGTCCTAAACAGGACATCCCTGTTCTGTTTATGTTGTGAACAGGCTTGGTTAGGAGTCAGGCATCCCTTTTTGGTTCCTCTTTTAAAAAACTATTATTAGGGATAGTATCAAATCAGCGCTAGTGAACGAGCCTCCAGTTAGATAGCAGGGGATTCCCTTCCCTTTTTCTGTGTGTAAAGGTAAAGGGACTCCTGACCATTAGGTCCAGTCATGACCGACTCTGGGGTTGCGGCGCTCATCTCGCTTTATTGGCCGAGGGAGCCGGCACACAGCTTCCGGGTCATGTGGCCAGCATGACTAAGCTGCTTCTGGTGAACCAGAGCAGCGCACGGAAACGCCGTTTACCTTCCCGCCAGAGTGGTACCTATTCATCTACTTGCACTTTGAGGTGCTTTCGAACTGCTAGGTTGGCAGGAGCAGGGACCAGCAACGGGAGCTCACCCCGTAGCGGGGATTAGAACAGCTGACCTTCTGATCGGCAAGTCCTAGGCTCTGTGGTTTAGCCCACAGCGCCACCCATGTCCCAGTTTCTGCGTGTACCTGGGCCGTATTTAGGATTGATGAGGCCCTAAGCTCCTGAAGGTAATGGGGCCCTTGATATGTCCAGCTGTCCTTTGTCAACAACAAATTGTCGCTGCTTTTTGTGTTGAATATATGCTGCATGGTAATTTATGGACCTAATAGGTCCATATACAACACAAAACACTGTTGCTGTATGTAGGTTTTATTTTATTGTTTTTTTTGTTATATTTTGGAAATGTACATCCAGGTTTCTTTCCCTTTAGTTTTTTGGGGGGTCCCCAAGAGAGTGTGGCCCTCAGCTGTATATCTTGTTTAGCTTATACATAAATCTGGCACTGGTGTGTACATACACAAACACACCACAAGACTAGAGCCTACCCAGATATTTAGAAAGTTGATGCAAGTTTTCAGTTTCTTGCTGTTTTAACTCTTCGGAAGACTTACGTTACTGTTGCTAACTTTTCTTATTGGTTTTTTTGTTTTATCTTCTTCGCAAACCGCTTTGAGGTTTTGTTTTTTTTAGCAGCCAAGTGGCGTATAAATCTTATGGAATAAATAGAGCCAAACCATTTGAGCCCCACAGGGCTTCCATCTCTAGGAGCCTCCCTGGGCAGAGCATTCCACAGGTGGGGGGCCACTGCAGAGAAGGCCCCGTTCTCGTGTTGCCACTTCCTGGACCTCTCACGGTGGAGGGACGCAAAGAAGGCCTGACATGATGATTGCAGGGTCCAGGTCAATTCATGTGGTTGGTTCATTATTATGGCAATTAGTTGCATTTGCATCCCATCTTTTCCTCCAAAGGAGCTCAAGGTGGCCCCACAAAAACCCTGAAAGGTAGGCTGAGAGAGGCAGTGTCACCATCCCAAGGTCACCCAACGAGCTTCATCACCAAGCCAGGATTTGAACCCTGGCTTCCCAGGCCCTGCTCCAACGCTGCAACCACGCTGCCGCACTGACACGTGTGATGTGGGAGCCAGTTTTATGATTTGAAGCAGTCACAGGGCTCTCTGAATCAGAGCAGCGCCAAGGGGAGGATGAAGAGGTCAACCCTTCCACCCACCCCCACCTTGCAAAACTGGTGTTCGCTCCGTGGGGGGTGGGGTAGGGTGGGGAGGGAAATGCAGACAACAGCCTCTAAAGCCTCTCTGGTCCTAGGCCAACCCACTAGACTGCGCTCGGTTATTTCACCTTCCGCAGAGCGAACCTGCCGGGCGAGTTCTCTCTGCCAGACCCAGCAATTGACAGCTTCTGCAGACAGTGTTGAAACCTGTTCCGTGGCTTTAAACGCTTAAGCAAAGGAACAAACTTATTACAAGCGTCGGCGCTCGGCCAAACGATCGCCGAGGTGTTGCGGGGAACAGATTCGCTGCAAAAACAGGAGAGGAAAGGAAAGCCTGGATTCTGCTCTCGCTCTCTCTCACACACACATGTGTGTTTGTGTGTGTCTTGTGAAGTGTGCAAATTCCCTGGCAGGGAAATAAACGGGTGGCCTGGCTTGAGCCTAGGTGGGGCGCTTCGTCGGAGATACTTGCCGAACCAGTGTTTGCTTTGCAGAAAACCCGAACTGTAACCGCAGGATCAAAGGCTTTGGCGCTGTTCGTGGTAATGGGAAGGAGCCATGTCAAGGCTTTGCAAAAATGCCCTCTTAATCCTCTATCCGCCCAGCTACTCCTCAGTCATGGACCCTAACTCAGAGGTAGAGCAGGTGCTTTTCATGCAGAAGGTCTCAGCTTCCATTGCTGGAATCGCCAGGTAAGGCTGGCAAATGTCCCCTGCCTGAAATCTTAAAGAGCTTCTGCCAGCCTGTGTGGACAATACTGAGCTAGATGGGCTCAATGGTGTGACTCAATATAAGGCAGCTATGTTCATGGAGATATAGAATATGGGGTGTTTTAAGGCGCACAGTAGGACGCGGGTGGCGCTGTGGGTTAAACCACAGAGCCTAGGACTTGCCGATCAGAAGGTCGGCTGTTCGAATCCCCGCGACGGGGTGAGCTCCTGTTGCTCGGTCCCTGCTCCTGCCAACCTAGCAGTTCGAAAGCACGTCAAAGTGCAAGTAGATAAATAGGTACCACTCTGGCGGGAAGGTAAACGGCGTTTCCGTGCGCTGCTCTGGTTCACCAGAAGTGGCTTAGTCATGCTGGCCACATGGCCTGGAAGCTGTATGCCGGCTCCCTCGGCCAATAAAGAGAGATGAGCGCCGCAACCCCAGAGTCGGCCACTACTGGACCTAATGGTCAGGGGTCCCTTTACCTTACTAAGGTGCACAGCGGGAATCAGGGATGCATAATAATAATAATAATAATAATAATAATAATAATAATGATGATGATGTATACCCTGCCCATCTGGCTGGGTTTCCCCAGCCCTTCTGGGCGGCTTCCAGCAAAATATTAAAATACGATAATTCATCAAATATTGAAAGCTTCCCCAAACAGGGCTGCCTTCAGAAACATTAGTTTAGTTCTTTCTTTACATTTTCTGCCTGAGTTGTGCTTCAAACTTCCGTGCAAGTGAGGAACGGGAAACTAGTAAGCAACTTCGACATCATCCTTCAGGGTTCACTTCCCCCCACCCAATTGCCACTTAAAATATATTTATTTGCTCAGGCCTATGGCACAGAGGTGCAGTGGAGTTTTTTAGCCATTAATTTCTTGAAGAGGCCTCTTATCCATCCTACAGGGGGTTGCAAGTGGTTGTGTGTGGGTGTGTGAATCTGTCAAGTTAAGTTCCTCTCCGTTTCTCACTTTCCCAACCTTAAACTCGGTTCTCTACAGTTCCACATCACTTGTGCATTTCCATTCTTGCTAAAAAGTCCACGTGAAAATTCATCGGTATTTTAGTGCAAACCTCTCCTCATATACAGTACAGCTTTGTTTGCAAATTTGCCTCTATTGTTTTTTTTTTGCAAAGCATTTTCCCGTAAAATAATGTATTTTTTGCTTGTTCTTTTCACCAATACATGTGTTTTTTTTAATGCACGCTTTCCCTTGGTTTTGTATCCATTCATATATTGCAAAATTCGGAGAAGCCTGCGTTTCGGTTGGAGTATTGATCTGGAAAGTGCGGATGAAGTAGATTTGCCTTTAAATGCGAGTCAAATTTCTTCCCATCCCTAGTTACAACCGTATAACCACAAGACCTTCAAATCCAATAAAACGATTTATAAGCAAACCAAAGAATGTACCATCAGACAACAAGGCTGGCCCCAACGGGGAGGGGAGGGGAATCACACAATTTTTAACTGTCCAAAAGCCAGTACATCTTCGGCAAAGGATGGAAACTGTATAATGAGGATGGCTGATGCAACTCTATGGAGAGGAAGTTCCACATTTTGGAAGCTGCTACGGTTTAAATAGTTTTAACAGTCCAAGCCTGCTGCATTGTTCTTGCCGTCTTAAGGCTGACTGTATTTATTTACTTGTTATTATTTGCCTTGGGAGCCTCCTTGAAGAGGGGTAGGATACCATAATAATAATATTCATGACAATAACAACAATTAATAATATCATCCCTTCCCTCAACGTATCCTTCAATATTTGGGTTCCTGGAATCTTTTTTTTTTAAAGTTTTTTTAATTAACAATTTCAACATATCAAAACATATCATATTTATTATTTCCTTCCCTCAGCTCCTCTCTCTGATTTTTCAACACATATAATTCTCTGCATACTGTGAAATTATATAAATCCTTATATTATCTATCTGCTATGTTGACAAATCAATAAATTTGTGTATGTTTATTCGAAACCTGCCAAGGAGTCGAATTCATTTTGTTGTCTTTTTAAGTAAATTGTAAAAAGTTCCCGTTCTTCTTTCAAGTCACAGTTGTCCTTATCTTGCAGTTTATATGTCAGTTTAGCCAATTTGGCATAGTTCATCAATTTCTCGTGCCACTTTTCCTTTGTCAGGGTTTCCTCATTCTTCCATCCTTGTGCTATCAAGACTCTTGCTGCTGCTGCTGCTGCTGCTGCTGTTGTTTAGTCATTTAGCCGTGTCCGCCTGGACCAGAGCACGCCTGGCACTCCTGTCTTCCACTGCCTCCCGCAGTTGGGTCAAACTCATGCTGGTAGCTTCCAGAACACTGTCCCACCATCTCGTCCTCTGTCACCCCCTTCTCCTTGTGCCCTCCATCTTCCCCAACATCAGGGTCTTTTCCAGGGAGTCTTCTCTTCTCATGAGGTGGCCAAAGTCTTGGAGCCTCAGCTTCAGGATCTGTCCTTCCAGTGAGCACTCAGGGCTGATTTCCTTCAGAATCGATAGATCTTCTTGCAGGCCATGGGACTCTCCAGAGTCTCCTCCAGCACCAGAATTCAAAAGCATCCATTCTTCGGCGATCAGCCTTCTTGATGGTCCTGCTCTCACTTCCATACATCTCTACTGGAAAAACCAAAGCTTTAACTATACGGACCTTTGTTGGCAAGGTGATGTCTCGGCTTTTTAAGATGCTGTCTAGGTTTGTCATTGCTTTTCTGCCAAGAAGCACGCATCTTTTAATTTCGTGGCTGCTGTCACCATCTGCAGTGATCATGGAGCCCAAGAAAGTAAAATCTCTCACTGCCTCCATTTCTTCCCCTTCTATTTGCCAGGAAGTGATGGGCGCTGTTGTAGCATACATGAATAAATTCTTTATTTTCCTTGGCGGGCCTTGTCCTACAATCCCTTACAGAAATGCTTCTGTTTTTTCTAACAAATGTCATTTTAAACATTTTCTTCGATTCATTATATATCATTTCCCAAATTTTTTTAAATTGCTGCAGCCCCCGGAGGGGGGAACAGGTGGGGGTGTGGCTGGCACGCGTCCTGGGGGTGTGGTGCGTCGCCCGGGGGTGTGGTGTGTGGCGTAGCACAGCGCAGGAGCGCAGCACGCATCCTGGGAAGCGGCCGTGATGGCATCCTTTCCCCAAATGGCACCCGGTGCGGTGCGCTCACTCGCCTCCCCCCTCCGAACACCAGTGCCTGGAATGTGCACCAGTAAATGACACTGGCCAGTAAATGGCACATGTTTGGGTTTAAATTTCCAGTTTGCCATGATCCCTACTGCATTAGCTTTCTTGCTGGGAGCTTATTACCGTATTTTTCGCTCTATAAGACGCACCAGACCACAAGACGCACCTTGTTTTTGGAGGAGGAAAACAAGAAAAAAAATATTCTGAATCTCAGAAGCCAGAACAGCAAGAGGGATCGCTGCGCAGTGAAAGCAGCAACCCCTCTTCCTGTTCTGGCTTCTGTGATAGCTGCACAGCCTGCATTCGCTCCATAAGACGCACACACATTTCCCCTTACTTTTTAGGAGGGAAAAAGTGAGTCTTATAGAGCAAAAAATACAGTATTTAAGGGAGCATTTGTTGATGATGTGCATTTTTTTTTTAAAAAATGAGTTATATTCTCCCTCCCAAAAAAAGCACTCAAAGCAACATATAATTAAATGCATATCTTTCCCACTTCTAAAGAAAATAGAATAGAAGTATTTAATGACTATATTTAGTTAAATATGTTAAGTTAAATTAATTGGGGAAAGCTTGCAATCAATAGGCTTAGGACTTAAATAAGTAATGTGATGAATTATCATGTTTAATGCGGAATTGGGAGGAAAAAGAGATGTTAAGTGATTAAGTTAAGATTAGAAGAACTTTGAATTGGAAAACCGTTAAAATGATATGCATTGAAATTCAACTAGGGGGATACAAGGAAGTCACTTAACAATGTTAAGAAGAATAGTTTTAATAAGGTTATGATTTCTGTTTGTCTGTTTATTTGTTCGTGTGTTTTTAATTTTGTGAAAACCAATAAAATTTTTGAGAAAAAAGAAAATAGAAGTGAAGTGTGGGGGGAGTACCTGCAGGATCAGATATGTCAGATATGCACGGACCTCCTCAATATAAATTTTTTTTTAGCGATAACAAATGGGATCCTCTTGACCCTAGTGGACAATTTCAAACAATATGAAAGAGCATCAGACCACAAAATGAACAAACCCTCTGGTCCAGGTGCTATAAATCACACATTACATACCAACAAATCACGGGGGGGGGGGGGGAATCAGAGCCCCAGAAGAAGAAAAGCAAAAACATTAAAAATTTAAGGATGTCCAGGATAATTCACCACACCTGTAAAGAAGCAGTGGCAGAAACTTTTTAATCTATTATCCTCTCCTGCCACAACTGGAACAAAGAAAGCCAACTGATGATGTATTAATGCATCTCATTATCTGCAGGTAGTCATCAGGCAGAGAGGCAAACGAATGGTTTCGCTGCAGACTTCGAGCGCAGAAACGCCAGCTCCCCAAAAGAAATGCGGGCAAACCACCCAAACCACCAAACTCTGGAGAAGACCGGAAAGTCGGATCCGCACCACCTGGGAGCCTCGGGACCATCAGGAGCTTCGTGCGCGAAAGCAACTTCCCCGAGCTCGTTGCAGTTCAGGAAACTCCCGATGACCCCAAAGGAGGCCCGTGTATCTGAAGCGCAGCCCCTGAATGGGAACATCGACAACCAAGTTTACGAAAGCATCGAGGATGGAGAAAGGGCATTATATACCAGGGACCGGTTGGAAAGAAGGCAGGGCTCTGACTTGACAATCATTAGCAGCAGAGGTTGTGGCGCAACCCCAGGGGACCCGCTTGCAGGATCCGCCGAATCGCGCAGGAGGGACACGAGGACTATAGGGTCCAGTGGGGTGCCAATGCAGCCACCTACAGCCTCGCAGGGCAGCGAGTCCCTGGGCCAGGTGCCGGGCCCGACACCCGAGGGAGCGGCCCCCATCCAGACCAGCTATGACATGGAGAAAAGGCTGAGCGCCATGTATGCCAAAGTGTGCAAGAGGCCCAAGCCAGCGCAGGAGTGGCAGCCAGCAAAACACCCCCAGGCCCCCAAACAGGAAGAGGAAGAGCCGCCCCCCATCCCAGAGAAGCACTTTGAGAACATCTACGAGACCTTGAGCCTCGATGCTGAGATGCAGGTAGGCTGCCTTGTGGGATCAGGCCCCGTTACACCCAAGGGTCTCTTGCATGTGTGAATAGGTCATCGCAGGTAATATGGCTGCACACATCATCCATAGGTCATATCCAATGTACTGGTATGTTGTTGTTGTTGTTGTTTATTTATTTGTTTATTTGTTTATTTATTTATTTATTTATACCCTGCCCATCATTAGCCCACTCCTCCTCCATGAATTTGTCCAATCCTCTTTTAAAGCCATCCCGGCTGGTGGCCCACACTGTCTCCTGTGGCAGTGAGTTCCACAGTTTAACTACCTGCTGTGCAAATAAGGACTTTCTTTTACCTGTCCTGAATCTTCCAGCCTTCAATCTTGTTGGATAGCTATGAGTTCCAGTGTTATGGCAGAAGGAGAAAAACTGTTCTCTCCCTTCTCTCTCCATGCCAAACACAGTTTTGCAAACTCGCCTTTTCCCTAAATAATAATGGTGATGATGATAATTTCTTTCTACCCTGCCCATCTGGCTAGGTTTCCTCAGCCACTCTGGGTGGCTCCCAACAGAATATTAAAAACACAATAAAACATCAAACATTAAAAACTTCCCTAAACAGGGCTGCCTTCAGATGTCTCCTAAAAGTCAGGTAGTTTTTTATTTCCTTGACATCTGATGGGAGGGCGTTCCACAGGGCGGGCGCCACCACCGAGAAGGCCCTCTGCAGTGTATTTGTTCTGCTGGCGTTATATTATGTTTTCTTTTTATTTATATGCCGCCTTTCGGCCAATAAGGACGCCTCAAGGCAATTCACAAGCAATACAGGCACCAATGCAAAATGAGACGATAAAAACCAAACGAAATCTTCGCGCTTCGAAAGTATTCGAATAAATCCATTGGAACATCCATGCTGATGTTTAAGAGTGCTGCTCTAAAATGTGATTTTTTTAATTGTTTAGTTTTTTATTTGTGGTGTTCTTAGGATGGTAAGAAACCACTTGGAGACTGCATATGTGGATCAGGGAATCTGATCCCTCTCACGGTGTCAGCCAAGAAGTAGATAAACAAGAAGAGTTCTTACCAAGTAATAATAATAATAATAATAATAATAATAATAATAATAATAATTTCTTATTTATAAACCACCCATCTGGCTGAACTTCTCCAGTACTTTATTCCATATTCACAGAGAAAGACGAAGGAATGCCGTGTCTCGGATAATGGCACCCTCTCCGTCTCTCCTATTCTACGTCATCCCTGCGCTGACTGATCTGTGCCTTCTGCCTCTGAGCTTTCTGTTCTCCTACTTTCAATGCCTGCCAAGTTCTGGGAGAAGAGGGGTCTGGATCGCTTTCCAAAGACACTGAGTCTGCCAGCTTCTTCCTCCTCCTGCCCCTCTCCCAATATTTCCCAGCTTCTCCCCTCTGCAGCCTCTGAGCTTTGACCTTCTGCAAACCGCCGTTCTAAATCTATACCGTCTCCCCTCCTCAGTCCAGTCCCTGATAATATAAAGGAATATACAGACCACCTAAATAAATAAAACAAATAAGGGCGCTTGTCGTGGGATAATGCCCCTGAACTCATTTCAACCTCTGATTTGATTGATACTCTGTGCGTGATTCAGAGGCTGAGAAAGCCTTGCCACCTTCCGCTGCAGTGAAGGAGCTCCTGACTCATCTGTCTTTCATCTTGGAATTAAATGATTACGGAAACAGTATGGATTGTTATCACTGCAGGGCAGAGCTCACGGATTCATAGAAAACAGCAAATAATGGGTAGTCTTACTTATTTGGCGAATCTTTTTTTAATGCCCTGCCCTTTTTCTTTATCATATGAATGTAGATTAAAAGTGGCTTAGGAAAAATAGTGAACTATTTCTAACGCAATTATAAAAACAACAACAAGTTATAACAAGTTAGGATAAAAACCCTTTAGGCAGCTGAAATGATTTCCGTTCCTATGGGCGGCTTGCCCCAGGCACCCGAGTGGCATCCTCCGCTGCTGACCAAGAGTAGTAATAATAATATAATAATAATTTATTATTTATTCCCTGCCCATCTGGCTGAGTTTCCCCAGCCACTCTGGGCGGCTCCCAATCAAGTGTTAAAAACAATACAGCAATAAATATTAAAAACTTCCCTAAACAGGGCTGCCTTCAGATGTCTTTTAATGATAAGATAGCTGCTTATTTCCTTCACATCTGAAGGGAGGGCATTCCACAGGGCGGGCGCCACCACCGAGAAGTCCCTCTGTCTGATTCCCTGTAACCTGACTTCGCGCAATGAGGGAACCGCCAGAAGGCCCTCGGTGCTGGATCTCAGTGTCCGGACGATGGGGGTGGAGACGCTACTTCAGGTATACAGGACTGAGGCCATTTAGGGCTTTAAAGGTCAGCACCAACACTTTGAATTGTGCTCGGAAACGTACTGGGAGCCAATGTAGGTCTTTCAGGACCAGTGTTATGTGGTTCCGGCGGCCGCTCCCAGTCACCAGTCTAGCTGCTGCATTCTGGATTAATTGCAGTTTCCGGGTCACCTTCAAAGGTAGTGTGCAATCCACACTAGATTTCATCTTGCTTGAGCTGGTACCACCCCTCCCAGGGCACACATAGCATGGGGTATGAAATATACTCAGAGTTGGGAGTGGATTTCATGCTCTTTATTCATCTCATAGTGGTGAGGAGGAATGGAAGTTCCCCCAGAATGTCTGCTTTATATACATTATTTACACAATGGGCCCCATGTGATTGGCTAATTCTGGGATTCACCTGTAGGCCAATCAGGTTGCGGATTCACTTCCACCTGGAGCTGGATTGGGTGGCTCCTGTGGACCAATCAGACTGCTGCATTCTGGACCCTATTGTTCTAGGACCAATCAGACTGCTGCCTTTTGGATCCTATTCAACTCAGTACATAACAGGGTGCAACCCTGTATCACCTCCGTTGATAACGCCATGCCATGTCACATGACACTGCAAACAGAAATGGGGGTGGGAATTTGATGTTCACGAGGAGGGATGGAGGAGAAAGTTCGCACGGTAAGTTCTCACGGTTTGTATCTCAACGAGAACAGACCAAATTTGCACTTCCTGAAACAATATGCAGACGATACGTTTTGGCAACGCGTAAGATATCATAGAGTAGTAGAGTTCTAAGGGGTCCCCAGGTTCATCTAGTCCAACCCCCTGCAATGCAGGAATCTCAACCAAATATTATAACCAAATTTTGCATGGTGGTTCCTGAGACCAGGGAGCAGATTCCTTCTGGGTTTGCATACAACTGAGCACCATTTGGAATCAAGACATTGGACTGAACTGTATAGAACTGCATTGGTTTTAACAAAATGTAAAATACTGGAAATGTAAGGTATCGGTCCAGTATACCTGAAGGAGCGTCTCCACCCACATCGTTCTGCCCGGATGCTGAGGTCCAGCTCTGAGGGCCTTCTGGCATCTTTAGCTGTGAGAAGCCAAGTTACAGGGAACCAGGCAGATGGCCTTCTCGGTGGTGGCACCCGCCCTGTGGAACACCTTCCCACCAGATGTCAAAGAGAACAACAGCTACCAAACTTTTAGAAGACATCTGAAGGCAGCCCTGTTTAGGGAAGCTTTTAATGTTTAATAGACTATTGTATTTTAATATTCTGGTGGGAGGCTCCCAGAGTGGCTGGGGAAACTCAGCCAGATGGGCGGGGTATAAATAATATATTATTATTATTATTATTATTATTATTATTATTATTATTATATTGGCAGCAAATGTTTTCATTATCATTCCTGAGATCAAACGCCAGGTTTTCCAAAAAGGCTGAACATTTCAAAACTACATGGATTTCAACCACGGATTTCAAAAATATACTGATTTGGGGAGGGGCGGTTCTTAGAATTCCTGAGCAACGCTGGGCACTCTCTACTACTATTTTGATTATCATTATCATCATTATTAACTACCTGCCTGTCATCCTAAGGTCCCAGGGTAGGTTACAGCATTAAAACACAGCATTAAAAACAGTTTCCAACAACTAACGAGCGTAAAAAGAAGGCGGATCCTAAAAACATACACTTCAAGTGTCAAAAGAGGAACGTCTCCATCATAAGCGGCATAAGGAAGGTGCCAGACACAACTTCCGCAGCTTGGGGCCACCACAGAAAAGGCCCTCTGCCAGGAGGCCCTGCTCTGAGTCTCTGAAGAATTACTAAGAGGGCGCCATCTCAGCAGGCAGAAAGGGTCTGTAGGGGAGAGGTGGTCTTTCAGATACATGCATGTTCATTTGGAAGGAATGACATACCGTATTTTTCGCTCCATAAGACACACTTTTTTCCTCCTAAAAAGTAAGGGGAAATGTCTGTGCGTCTTATGGAGCGAATGCGTGGTCCCTGGAGCCGAATTGCCCAGGGGCAAAAAGCAGATCATGCTCTCTTTTTTTGAAAGAGGGAAGGGAGTGTTGAAAGGAAGCCGCTGATCATTTGCCGATGGGGAGAGAGATAAGGGATGCTAGCAATAAAGGAGGCTGCCTGGGAGGGGGGAGGTAAAGACAGCAAACTTGCAAGGAGAGGAGACAGGAAGACTAAATCAATGAGGAGAAAAATTAAAAGAAAAGGAGGAGCGAAAAACTGCTCCAGCTAAGGAAAAGACACTAAGGCAAACAAGAGGGAAGGGAGTGTTGAAAGGAAGCAGCTGATCGGTGGGATCGGGAGCGAGATAAGGGACGCTAGTGATAAAGGAGGCTGCCTGGGAGGGGAGAGGTAAAAGCCCATGGATCCTCAGGATTTTTGCATTGGGTCACCCCAAATTCACCATCAGATCACATAGCATGTCCATGGCTACAGCCTGCACCAAAAAAATCATGCACCCACTGTTTCGTGGGGCCGCAATGGTGCAAAAACGTGGTTACAAAGCACGGATCCACATGGATTCTCGGGGTTTTTGCATTGGGTCACCCCAAACTCACTGTCAAATCACATGTCTGTGGCCACAGCATAAACCACAAAAATCATACATCCATTGTTTTGTTCAGAATATTTTTTCCCTTGTTTTCCTCCTCTAAAAACGAGGTGTGTCTTATGGAGCGAAAAATACGGTAAACCCTCAGGCTTTGCTTTCCTCTTTCCCCTTCTTTCTCTCTTTCCACAGGGAGGCGAGACACCGGGTGCCATCGCGCCAGCGGAGGTATGAACCGAGGTCGGGGTGACGGAAGAGCAGAGGCAAGACTCTGGAAAAGACTGGAGACACACATGCCCCCAGAGCTGTCAAGGCTCCTTCCAGGCCCCTCGGACGGAGGGCAGGTGGAAAGGATTTTGGGACCCAGAAAGCATTTCAGGAGTTGGGTTCTCCTCTGCCCCAGGAGACATTTTCCACGGGACCTGAAGGGTGGAGGGCTTTGGATGGTGGTGGTGTTCTGTCGTAGGGTGCGGGGGTTGTGGTGGTCCGTGGGTCTTCCAAGAGTCGCACAGGAGCTTGTTGTCACATGGAACAATAGACTCGGGTGCAAAACAAGCACAGCTGCATCCTTTTTATTTATACCCTGCGTTTTCCACAAGCATGTCGGTGATTGCAATTGTTTATAATAAAGCTTTTTAATATCGCTAGAGCACAACACTAAATATAATAATAATGCAATGATTAAAAGTTAACTCTACATTTATTTTTTATTTATTTCATAAAATTTATGCACCGCCTGATTGTAAAAACAAGCAAACAAAAAAACCTCAAAGCAGTTTACGAAGAGAATAAACCAATAAAATTATCAGTTGGAAACCACAGAAGGAACTCTTTTTAAAAAGAAGGGTTTTATCCGGGGGCTTTCCGTTTCCAGACTTTTATGTTAAGTTGCATGAAGAAGCGCTAAGAGAGTTGCTGTGCCTACTTGGCAAAAGGTATGTTTGTTCCAGTCTTGGCCGTGAGCTCCCTGGATGGTCTCAGGGAATTCGCTTTCCCAGCCTCAGTGCTCATCTGCAAAATGGGCACAACAGAAGCCTGTTGCATGAAGCTTTCCTGAGGATGTGCGAACCAACACGTGTGGCTTGAATTCAAAGGGGCTTTTGCGCAAGGACTCCCCAGTCCATGATGCCCCAGTTTCTTTAAAATATATATATATAAATAAATACCACATTTGCAAATATTTGGTAAGTTATTCACCGATAATCTTATTGAGCTGCCTGAAGCTTGTGCATTGAGATGAGAGGTGTGTTACTACTCTTTAACATTTTGGATTGCAAACTTGTCCTTTAGTCATTTAAAAAAAAATGATTATTCATGCTGTTTTCAGCAGCCAGACGCACTCTAGGAAGAAAATACGAATGCATATGCGCCCAACACGTGACCCTGCCCCCAACATGGGAATATCAATGAGGCCATTGTCTTCTGCCCCAGTTCCCTTCTCCCCTCCACCCCAAAGACTTTCCCTCAGCACTGCTCTATCTGCCTTGTAAAACGACAAAGGGACGTTATGTTGAGGCACTGCTGGAACTGGAAACAATGGCAGGCCATTCAGAATTCGGGATCTGGGGCAGCCCAGATGTTGCAGTCCTTGCTTGGTGGAGAGTACTGGCAGTTCCTGAGCATGGAATGTAAGGACATAAGAAAAAGCCGATGGATCAGCCCTGGTCAGAGTCGTGGTCCAGAATATCTGGAGGGCACTGGGATGGAGAAGCCAGTTTTATTGTGACTTGCAAATGCAGCTGTGGTGTCTGGATATTGCCTGGAATAAGGGGCGCCTTTGCTCACAGTTCGGCAGCTGCTCATAAAATTGTAGAGTTGGAAGGGACCCTGTGGGATCATCCAGTCCAACCCCCTGCAATGCAGAAATATGCAGCTGTCTCATACGGGGATCGAACCTGCAACCTTGGCGTTATCAGGACCTCTTCTTTGGCGATCACTCGTAGCCGAATAAGATTGTGTTCCATAAACACGGTTTTAACAATGAGTCCGTAAGTGACTGTGGAGACCAGTTCTGGACCCACACGTCCTTCCACAGTGGGGACATTGGTTTCCGGGCAGGAGTTGATCCCGGTGTGGATTTGCCAAGTGTCCCTTCCTCTTAGCACGTTTCTCCCTTGCGTCCTGAGTTCGAGTGTCTTCAGAGCCCATGACACCTTTGGTAAAGGCTGTTCTCCAACTGGAGCGCTCGCAGGCCAGTGTTTCCCAGTTGTCAGTGTTTATACTACATTTTTAAAGATTTGCCTTGAGAGCATCTTTAAACCTCTTTTGTTGGCCACCAGCATTGCGCTTTCCATTTTAAAGTTCGGAATAGAGTAGTTGCTTTGGAAGACGATCATCAGGCATCCGCACAACATGACCAGTCCAACGAAGTTGATGTTGAAGAATCATTGCTTCAACACTGGTGATCTTTGCTTCTTCCTGTACACTGATATTAGTTCGCCTAATATCAGGCAAACTATCAGGATCACATTCTAATCAACAAAGAGAGACGTTCAGAGCTTTGCCATCCTGCCTAGTAGCCATCGCTAGCCCTCTCCTCCTCCATGAATTTGTCTAATCCTCTTTTAAAGCCAACCGAGCTGGTGGCCGTCACCAGGGGAGTAGGAAAGGGGGGAGGTCCGCCCAAAGTGCCATCATGGAGGGGGGTGACAAATTATCAAGGAACTATTACTGCCCTAAGGGACGTGGGTGGCGCTGTGAGTTAAACCACAGAGCCTAGGACTTGCCGATCAGAAGGTCGGCAGTTCGAATCCCTGCGACGGGGTGAGCTCCCATTGCTCGGTCCCTGCTCCTGCCAACCTAGCAGTTCGAAAGCACGCAGTGCAAGTAGATAAATAGGTACCGCTCCGGCGGGAAGGTAAACAGCGTTTCTGTGCGCTGCTCTGGTTCGCCAGAAGTGGCTTAGTCATGCTGGCCACATGACCAGGAAGCTGTACACCGGCTCCCTCGGCCAATAAAGTGAGATGAGCGCCGCAACCCCAGAGTTGGCCACGACTGGACCTAATGGTCAGGGGTCCCTTTACCCTTTACCTTTATTACTGCTCTACAGTTGGAGCCTCCCTCCTCCCTGGCCGGCAGGGAGGGAGGGAGAGGAGCTGCTTTCTTTGAAACCCGGGAAATTTAAGGGACATCATCAATAAGGGACAGCAGCGGGACACGGCGCTGGGATAAGGGACTGTCCCGCCAAATAAGGGACGCTTGACAGCTATGCCCTGAGCAGGACCACTCAACAAGGCAACCTTCTCTTTCTTGTTTTTCTGTTGCATTTTATAGTGTTTTACTGATACATCTAGGAAATGTTGCTTGCAAGGTGGGTAAGAAATCTAAAAGTTGGAGTAATGGTAGTAGAAATAAATGTCATGAAATAAAATTATTATTATTATTATTTGCATGCATACCCCATGTTTCTTCCAAGGAGTTCAGAGGGGCAGGCATAGTTCTCATCCTCTTCTCTTCACAACAACCTTGGGAGGTAGGTTTAGCTGAGAGGCAGTGACTGGCCCAAGCTCACCCAAGGAGCTTCATGGCTGAACGGGAATTCGAACCCTGTTCTGCCAAGTCGCAGTCCAGAACTCTAACCACGAGGCCACAGGGGGAGACTCTTCGAAGACAGTTTACTACTCTAAATACAAGGAATGATAGGTAAAATCTGTAAGAGAAAGATTGCAAACAAGAAACAGACAACCCAACTTATTCAAAAGATGTGGAGTAAGGAAGAACAAGTTAGCGAATCAATGGTTGAAAGGAGAATGGAATGAAAGGAATAGATGAGATTAAAGTAAGCAAATTTAGAGAGCTGGAATTAAAATTCTTTCTAAAATGGTACAGAACTCTGGCCCAGTTTGCTAATATGGTAGCAGGATTGAATTCTAACTGTTGGCACTGTAAGCAAGCCAAGGGATGGTTTCCCCATGTTTACTGGGAATGCCCAGAGGTAAAGGAATTCTGGAATAAAATCCTAAAGGTTATTAATGAAATTTTTAAAGTGAAGCTTTCAATAGACTTTGATTTCATGACAATGGGTATAATTGGAAACACGGCTATAGAGAAAGGGGACCAGTTTACCTTCAGAGCTATGATATTATGGAAAAGGCAACGATAGATTTAGGTTGGAAAGAGAGAGAAAAATGGACAGTAGAGGCATGGAATAGTTATTTGTTTGAACCTGTGGGTTAAACCACAGAGCCTAGGACTTGCTGATCAGAAGGTCGGCGGTTCGAATCCCACAACGAGGTGAGTTCCCGTTGCTCGGTCCCTGCTCCTGCCCACCTAGCAGTTCAAAAGCATGTCAAAGTGCAAGTAGATCAATAGGTGCCGCTACGGCGGGAAGGTAAACGGCGTTTCCGTGCGCTGCTCTGGTTCACCAGAAGCGGCTCAGACATGCTGGCCACATGACCCGGAAGCTGTACGCCGGCTCCCTCGGCCAGTAAAGCGAGATGAGCGCCGCAACCCCAGAGTCAGGCACGACTGGACCTAATGGTCAGGGGACTCTTTACCCCTTTACCTTTATTCAGTCGGACATTGTCTCAGTCACGTCACAGGAAACAACATGGAAGGTCAAGTCCACCACGATAAGGAACAGATGGAACCCCTATCTTGAATGGATAAAAACTACTGGAACAAAAGACATTCGGTGGAAACTAAAGAGGCTAGGCCTGTGGCTGAGGATAATTGTTTGAACCCTTCCAATGGATATGGGTGAGGGGGGTGGGAGGGGAGGGGAGGGAAAGGAAAAAATTGTATGGGAAATTTAAAAATTGGAAGGAGATAATATAATGTATGTAAAGGAGATAATATAATGTATGTAAATCCCAAATAATAATAATAATAAAAAACCCTCAAATAATAATAATAATAATAATAATAATAAACTATTCTAAATACATAATCATAGAATCATAGAATTGTAGAGCTGGGAGTCCAAGGGTTATCAAATCCCAACTAAAGCATCCAATCTAAACTAAAGCAATAATAATAATAATAATAATAATAATAATAATAATAGTAATTTATTTATACCCCGCCCGTCTGGCTGGGTTTCCCCAGCCACTCCGGGCAGCCTCCAGCAAAATATTAAAGTACAATAATTCATTACTTTGCTGTAAGAGTGAAGCATGTGATCCTACGATTCGATGTGCCCCGGCTTATCTGATCTTTGCCAAAAAACCCCGAAGAGTCCTATCAGCCAGATTGTCCGTTGGGCTGCAGAGCAATCAAGCAGAAAAGATTGACCGGATAGTAGTGCAAAATTGGCAGCCGGAGCATCTGAGCAGCAGGAAGCATGGCCTGGAAACGGCGGCGGTTGTGTGCAGATGCCCTCCGCGATTCTCTTGTCTGCCCTCGGTTCACTGCCCCGACCTCTGGCCTCCATTTGCCCTTTTGTACTTTAATAACTGGCTGGATCCGAGTGCGGGGATTACGGTCACTTAGCGCTTGGTTATATTCCTGTGTGTGGCCATGTGTGATCCAGCAAGGCCGGCCCATGTTTGCCGTGCTCTCCTTCCAGGCGGCAGGGATGGCAAGGCTTTTAAAGACACAGGCACCATCTCCCCCAATATGGACCAGCCTGAAGGCTGGCAAGCGAGGCTGTGCTCAGGGCTGGCCCAAGACATTTTGCCGCCTGAGGCAAAACAGAAAATGGCGCCACAGCTCCTTGTCCACCCCCCTGCCTCTGCTTCCTCTGCCAACCTCCCAGTGATTCCGCCTTCTCTGCCACCGCCTGAGGCAACTGGAGGCGGCCTGCCGAGGCAGGGGTAGCCCATCCCATTTTGCCGCCTGAGGTGAAACAGGATGGTGCTGCCATGCTGCCAAAGCCTCACGGGTCACACGGCTGTAGCGGCAGCAGAAGGGCACGCATGGAGGCACCGCCCTGTGGGATTCTGCCGCCTGAGGCGGCTCCCTCAGACTGTGAAATATACTTGGAGTCGAGTGTGGATTTCATGCTCTTTATTCTGCTCCTAGTGGTGAGGAGGAATGGAATTTCCCCCAAAATGTCTGCTTTATATACATTATTCACACAATGGGCCCCACGGGATTGGCTAATTCCGGGATTCTCCTGTAGGCCAATCAGGTTGCGGATTCACTTCCACCTGGAGTTGGACTGGGTGGCTCCTGCGGACCAATCAGACTGCTGCATTCTGAATCCTATTGTTCTAGGACCAATCATACTGCTGCATTCTGAATCCTACTGTTCTGGGACCAATCAGACTGCTGCATTCTGAATCCTATTCTTCTAGGACGAAACAGACTGCTGCATTTTGGATCCTATTTTTCTAGGACCAGAATGCTGCATTCTGAATCCTATTGTTCTAGGACCAATCAGACTGCTGCATTTTGGATCCTATTGTTCTAGGACCAATCAGACTGCTGCATTTTGGATCCTATTATTCTAGGACCAATCAGACTGCTGCATTCTGAATCCTACTGTTCTGGGACCAATCAGACTGCTGCATTCTGAATCCTATTCTTCTAGGACGAAACAGACTGCTGCATTTTGGATCCTATTTTTCTAGGACCAGAATGCTGCATTCTGAATCCTATTGTTCTAGGACCAATCAGACTGCTGCATTTTGGATCCTATTGTTCTAGGACCAATCAGACTGCTGCATTTTGGATCCTATTATTCTAGGACCAATCAGACTGCTGCATTCTGAATCCTATTGTTCTAGGACCAATCAGACTGCTGCATTTTGGATCCTATTGTTCTAGGACCAATCAGACTGCTGCAATTTGGATCCTATTCCACTCAGTACATAACAGTCTCATCGGTGGGCCGGCCCTGCAGGGAAGTTCCAGCATGCTGAAGGCAGTGGAGGAGAAAGAAAGGGGCAAGACAGGATTGGGCGGTGGCAGCCAAAGCCTCGCTCTTCCTAGGTGGCCATGGCTGACAAGCACAGAAGGAAGCGAGTGGTGTGCTCGGATCTGCCATCCCTCCTAGCTGTTGCCGCCTGAGGCGACAGCCCAACCAAAGCTAATGGGTGGGCCGGCTCTGACTTTGCTGGTGGTTCTGCCAATGCACAGGGCCTGCGAGGCAGGACCCAGCAGCAGGGCCTTCCCTGTGGTGGTGCCCTGAGGATGGAACCGCCTCCCTGCCCTCGCTGAAGTGTGTTTGCCCCCAACATTGCTGCCATTCAGATGAGACCTCTGTTCATTTCTGCTTGAAGGGCGGCATATTTCAGCAGCTTGGGAATTGCTGTAGAAATTCAAAACATGCTTTTAGTCATTTGGAATTTTGTAGTGTTTTGTAGTGATGCCAGCTGCCCTGGCATCCTTCAGGGCGGAATGGCAGATAAAACTCAAGAAAATCATTACAATCTCAGGCTGAACTTTCCCCAAGCCTCAGCAACACTCCCTGTGGTGGATTAATTTTGAGTGGGCTATATACAATTTGAGGGACGCGGGTGGCGCTGTGGGTTAAACCACAAAGCCTAGGACTTGCCGATCAGAAGGTTGGTGGTTCGAATCCCCGTGACGGGGTGAGCTCCCGTTGCTCGGTCCCCGCTCCTGTCAACCTAGCAGTTCGAAAGCACGTCAAAGTGCAAGTAGATAAATAGGCACCGCTCCAGCGGGAAGGTAAACGGCGTTTCCGTGCGCTGCTCTGGTTCGCCAGAAGCGGCTTAGTCATGCTGGCCACATGACCAGGAAGCTGTACGCCAGCTCCCTCGGCCAATAAAGCGAGATGAGCGCTGCAACCTCAGAGTCGGCCACAACTGGACCTAATGGTCAGGGGTCCCTTTACCTTTACCTATATAGAATTTGATTTTGCACAAAAAAAGGGAGGTCCTGTCCCTTGCTGTTGGGAATAAGATGTTGCAGCCACTTCAGTACCTAAGGTTCCCCTCCCCTGCAAGGAGATAGGGGTTGTCGTTTGTGTGTGTGCACGTTATTTCAATTTAGTGCATTCAGGGCCGTCCCTAAAGTTAAGCAGAGTGTGGCGACAAAGTAGGGAGCTGTAGCCAAGGCTTGCTCTTTGGCCCACTCCTTGTGGTTTGTCTAGGCGAAATCAATAATAATAATAAATTTTTATTTATACCCCACCCTTCCCGGTTCAAAAACCAGGCTCCGGGCATCTGACAACAAATTTAAAACACTTTAAAACACTTAATTATAAAAGCAGCATAAAATACAGTATAAAAACATGAATAACAATAAAATTCAAAAAACAAAAATCAATTAGATAAACCCCAGGGCTAGCTGGCTGAATTGGTCCTACTTGGGCCAGCGAGGAGGTCAGGGGAGAATTAGCTGTGGGGTCTCAGAGCGGGTGATCTTCATAAAAGGGGAGGGGGAGGGAAGAGACGGAAATAAAAGATCAGGCTGAGTTCAAATTAAAGGCCAGGCGGAATAGCTCTGTCTTACAGGCCCAGCGGAAGGAGGTTAAATCCTGAAGGGCCCTGGTCTCCTGGGACAGAGCATTCCACCAGGTCGGAGCCATCACTGAGAAGGCCCTGGCCCCGGTGGAGGATAGTCTGACTTCCTTAGGGCCCGGGACCTCTAAACTATGGTTATTCATGGACCTTAAGGTCCTCTGCGGGGCAGACCAGGAGAGGCGGTCCCGTACATGCAAGGGCCCTAAGCCACAAAGAGCTTTAAAGGTCAAGACCAGCACCTTGAACCTGACCCTGTACTCCACCGGGAGCCAGTGCAGCTGGAAAAGCACTGGGTGAAGCACATGTTCCCATGGCAGGGCCGTGAGGAGCCTCGCTGCAGCATTCTGCACCCGCTGGAGTTTCTGGGACAGCTTCAAGGGCAGCCCCGCCTAGAGCGAATTACAGTAGTCAAGCCCAGAGGTGACCGTCGCATGGATCACAGTGGCCAGATCAGGGCGGGAAAGGTAAGGGACCAACTGCTTAATGCGGCGAAGGTGGGAAAATGTCGCCTTGGCTGTTGCTGTAACTTGCGCCTCCATGGAAACCAAGCATTATCTACTCTGACTGGCAGCTGCTGTCTGGGGTTTCAGGCAGGGAGAATGTCCTAGCTTTGCCTGGAGATGTTGCCAGGGACCGGGGACCCTTCTGCATGCAAGGCAGCTAAGCCACGGCCCTTCCCCATTCTGCAGTCTTGAGCTGCAAAGCGAAAAAGTGAAATGTGCGCCTCTCTCTGTGTGTGTGCAAAACTGCCCTTAGGTCTTTCTGAACGCTGCTTCTTGCCCAGACAGCCTTCTCTTGTTTGCTCTGTGCCGGGGTTCTTTTGTAAGATCTTTCATGTGCCTGATGCCAGCAGCATGCCGGGGGATTTTTGGCAACGGGAAGCCAGAACGGGGTTGAAATTCCAAACCTTTTATTTTATTATTATTGCAGTCAGGGAGTTGTAAAGGAATAAATGTCTGATAAGGGCAATGGATAAAAGTCGCCAGGGAACCGAAGAGGCATTTTGCAGCAGGGGGTTGCAAGCATGTCGCCCAGAGCCCTGCTCTTTGCCACTGTCTAGGCTGGTGCAGTGCCAAAAAAGGGGAGGGCAAGACCCACACAAAACTTTCCAACGGACCTAAAAGCATTATCAATTCCACTTGGGGAAGGGCGATAGCTTAGCCTTAGTGTAGACCATGGATCTTAAAAAGCAGAGACATCACCTTGCCAACAAAAGTCCATATAGTTAAAGCCATGGTTTTCCCAGCAGTGATGTATGGAAGTGAGATCGGGACCATAAAGAAGGCTGATCGCCAAAGAATTGATGCTTTTGAATTGTGGTGCTGGAAGAGACTCTTGAGAGTCCCATGGACTGCAAGAAGATCAAACCTCTCCATTCTGAAGGAAATCAGCCCTGAGTGCTCACTGGAAGGACAGATCCTGAAGCTGAGGCTCCAATACTTTGGCCACCTCAGGAGAAGAGAACATTCCCTGGAAAAGACCCTGATGTTGGGAAAGATGGAGGGCACAAGGAGAAGGGGACGACAGAGGACGAGATGGTTGGACGGACGAGATGGTTGGACAGTGTTCTCGAAGCTACGAACATGAGTTTGACCAAACTGCGGGAGGCAGTGGAAGACAGGAGGGCCTGGCGTGCTCTGGTCCAGGGGGTCACGAAGAGTCGGACACAACTAAACGACTAAACAACAACAACAGACCATGGATAGGCAAACTAAGGCCCGGGGGCCGGATCTGGCCCAATAGCCTTCTAAATCTGGCCAGCAGACGGTCCAGGAATCAGCGTGTTTTTACATGAGTAGAACGTGTCCTTTTATTTAAAATGCATCTCTGGGTTATTTGTGGGGCATAGGAATTCATTCATTTATTTCCCCCCCAAAATATAGTCCGTCCGTCCCCCATGGTCTGAGGGACAGTGGACTGGCCCCCTGCTGAAAAAGTTTGCTGACCCCTGGTGTAGACGATACTGAGCTAGATAGATCCATGAGTATAAGGGAGCTTCCCATGTTCCGAACGTGGGTGCCTGTCTCACAGAATCGAGGTTTCTTGGCCTTTTCGAAAGCACCAATCTGCCAAACTTCAACGCACATCACTAAATTTCTTTCGCATCTTGGCTTT